TTTGTTTCTGAAATGATGTTTATTGAAATATAATTTTCATTGACTAGAGGATTTTTTGTCTATATATACTTTTTATTGCTTGCTAAAGTTGTTTCAATAACTGTTGATTGTTTACATGCTAATAAAAGTGGTTGAAGACTTTCAGTAAATTTTGTAAATTTATTTTCAAGATCTTTTTGATATTCACGTTGATCAGCTTGTATTAATGTTTTATTTCGTTTTAATGCTTCTGCAAGTCTAAAAAGAAAAGGAAAGAAATAAGAGAAGTTTTTTATTTGTTTCGTTTTAAAAGTACCTTCGAGTAAATTCTTTAAAACATAATCTTAAACGATTATGATGAATATTTGGTAATTCTAATCCATTCATAATTGGATATAAAAATATATTTGCAACTTCTAATGGACCTTGATTAACAGCCGTACTTATACAACCTTGTATAACCATTTGAAGTATTTTTGGATCGGCTGGTTCTTGTTGTATAGCTAAACGTAATTCATCGGTTTTCTTTTGTAAATCTTCTATAGCAACTTCAATTGGACTTAAAACTAAACGTTCACGATCAATTATTGCAATACGTGTTTTAACATAAGGAAATGCTCGTTCAACAGTTAATATTGTTTTACGTTTATATTGTTCAGGTAATGAACCATGTGCACGATTTGTATCCATTGTAAATGGCGATGCATACATAAAACGCTCTAAATTATTTATTATTTTCAATAAATAATTAATAAAGTAAAAATCCTATTTACTAAGATTATAATTTCGATCAAAATGTGTTGGACGATGTTGTAGCTCTGATGTATCAAAATATGGTTCAACATAAGTTACTTGAATATGAATCTTTTTTTTGTTGAAGAGAAATAGAAAAAAAAACAAAAAGATTAGGATAAATATTAATATAAAATTTTTATGATCTTTTAAGATTATGATTAAATGATAAGAGTATCTCATTTCTGATTTGATTATTATGTTCTTTTAACAAGTTTTTCTCTTTTTCACTAGTTGAATGCTAATCGTTCGCTGGTATTTAATAGGATTGTATACATATATATATATATATATATATATGAGAATTAGTTATATATGCTAATGGATGTTATCATCGAGACATTGAAAGACTATTCCTTGTTTGTCCTTATTTTTGATAGACACGAACAACGAGTGATAACAAATTATAACATGACAACATTATAGGAAAAGAGAAAAAGAACAAATTAAATTTCAAAAAATGACGAAACCATTTTATACATGATCAATTATAAGATAAACAAAAATGAAAGTGAAAAATTTCATGTATATATAGACGAAGCAATATGTAAAAATGATTATCTTGTAATTGAATGGTGATAGATTATCTAAGCCATTTATTATAAACTGTCAGCACTAGGTCAAGAAAAGGCTCTATTACATAAATAAATCTCTACAGTTTCTTTTTTTAACAGTAACCCGTAAAAAAAAATATTGTATTAGGTCATTATTCATCATATATATCTATACGCTAATTCGTAACGCTATCGAATAGATTTTTTCAAGTACGTAATTGAATGTTTTAGTTTTTCTTTTTATTCTTTAAAATATTCTAATTAGATTTAGTGAAATAACATTATTAACAATAAACTAATTTTTTTCTCTCTCTTTGTAAATCTTCAATTAGCTTTCTATTTTTATCAAAAGATTTAGAAAATCAGAAAATTTCTTTTCTTTCTCAATTAATAATATTTCCCCAATAAAGGAAGTAAATAGACTATATGACAAAATCTTGCTTCGATTATCACCATTACCATGACATTTAGCATGTTCTACATCATTTAACCTTACGCAATAGAAATCGACAAACTTCCTTTTTTAGATTATCAAGGAAATGAACGATTCTTAATCTTTTTCTCTATTTTATACAACAAAAAAAGAAAAAGAAAAAGAATCCTTCAATTGTACAAAGCTTTTTCAAGGTTAAATGTCTATAAATATTGAAAATATCAATCGTAACCAATATATTATTATATTCTATATTGTTTTATTGTCGATATCCATATTCATATATGTTAAATGTCAAATTTGCACAGGTTTCTTAAACAACAAATGAAAGTTTTTTTTATAATTAAATCTTTTTGTTAAAACCCCAATATATATATACATCCGTGCTTGATCGATTATAAATAGAAAAAAACAACAGAAAGAAGAGAAGAAAAAAAGAGAATGAATAAGGAGAATAAAGAGTAAAATCGCAATACGAAAAGAGAAAAAAGAACAATTGCAGAGACCTTCTCTTATTCGTATAACATACAACCTTCTCAATCGTTAAAAAGCACTTAACTCTGAGAAGTCGAATGATAGCCAGATGGTGTTTTATAGTTATTTCATATCTTTTTTTTTCTTCTTCTTATTTTACTACAATTATTTGAACAATTCTATTAGAATCAATCGTTCAGGTAAAAGTCATAGCATTTGTTCATATATGTCAATCAAAGAACTATTTTCTTTTTCTTCTCTTTCCTTAAAAAAAAGTAAATCTAGTAATGATGTGATTGTATACAAGAACAGAATCCTTGTTATTCTATAATTGTTATATGTCTCTGTTTCCAAAGTCATCCGACGCCCAATGATGCTTTACTATTGCTATGATTTGTTATTGGTTTGGTTGCTTCATTGACTAGGTTATTCTCTGTTACTTGTTTCTTGTTCCTGCTGTGTTAGCAAGGATATTAAAGCAAAAGAAAAGATAGCTGCCATCATCATCGTTGTCGTCGTCGTCGTCGTCGTCGTCGTTGATGATGATAATGATGACCTTCATTCGTCGTCTCTCGCACAGGCGCGATATCAAGCGGAATTGATGATGTTATATGTACAAGCGCAATCGGCATCCAACCCCACCATAACAACAACAACCTCGGCATTCTACAGGATGTAACACTCAATACCTTACAACAAGGATTCGTACTTGACAGAAAGGAGATAGAGTAGAAAGGCACCGTGCTGAAAAACAATAAGTCACAAATAGCTAATTCATGTGTCAGTAATAGTAATATACTGTTGTCTTTTCTAGTTATGTTATATATATATATATATATGCCACAATCTTATTGCTTTCATTCATCTTGATAATTCTTTACTACAGTACATTTACCTAAATCTCTATACGTCTAATTTATGTTGGTCTAAGACTTAGTCTTATTTTCCTTTTTATCATTTCTTTCTGTCTTTGCTTCACATTTTTTTTTCTTTTTCTTTCTCTTATTGTCTATTTCGTGCGTATTGAGACTTGCTTTTTTACATCCGAATTGCCTATATAGTACACAGGTAAGGCCAAACGTATATTATATATGTATATATATATATATAAATATACACATATATATGCATATATATATGTGTGAAGAAAAAGCGAAACAAAAAAAATAATATATACAGGTTCTCTTATAAAGTTTCATTATTATATTAATCATTATTGTTAATAGGTTTGTATACACTTAAGTCGTCTAATATATATACACATAAATATTAATAAAACCAGATTAAAAATATGAAAACTTGAGAAGAATCAGATGTTTATATAATATATATTCTGTCCTATGATTTCTATACGGTGTTGATCGTCGTTTAATCTATATTCAGGATAGATAAATTCGTCGTAAATAAGAAATAGACAAAAAAAAAGCGAGAAAGAGAGAGAAAGAGGTGATATAATTTATGCATGACATTGTTGATGACAAGCAGAAAAAGAGGCATAGCAGATGCTCTTTTCAATGTCTTTTTTTTTGCTTTCATCCAGCTTGTATATATATATAAATATATATTTATTTTGATTTCCACGAGGAAAACACTACCGTAAGAAGTACATGATTCAAAATGAATAAAAGAAAAAAAAAGAAAAAAAATAGGTAACTTGAATATGTTATGCAAAAACAACGATCGTTGCGGTGTCTTTTTCTTATTTTTTTTCTATTTCGTATTTATCGTATCATCATTCTTATTTTTTTTTTCGTCCCTTTTTTTTCTGAAGGCTTGTACAATTTTGTACATGTCTTTGTAATACATTTTCATAAATAGACGGCAAAAACATTGCTTGCTTGTCAAATATATGACGATGATAGTAATGGTGATGATGGTCGTCGTCGTGTATAGCGAGTATAAACGAAAAAAAAGAGCGAGAAGGAAAAGACATGAATGGAGACGATTTATTTGAAAAAATAAATATCGTTCCCTAGTTGCTACTCTACGGTCGTTGACTGGTATACAAAAATCCCTCCTTTTTTTCTTCTTCTTCTTTTTCTTATTCATTACATTCTTTATACGTGACAGAGATAATAACTTGCATACTAGACGTATACATTCAGTCACGCATATAAGCTATACCTACAGATCTAAGGTAAGGTTAGTTAGAAGTATTTAAATGAAAATTACAAATAGTATATAGATCTCATTTCATTTGTATGACCTTGGATTGATAACTTGCTTCCATTTTATTTCTGTTTAATAATCATTTATTTTTATCTTATTTATATGAATCACTTATTAATATCATTTTTATATGCTGATTGAGATTGATATGTCTCTTGAGGAAGATCATCATTCTTTTTTTTTTTATTTATATATATATATATATATATACAATTGATGATGTATATAATGGCATACCTGAATAGGATAATAAGATAGAAATAGAAAAAGAAGCGAGGAGCAGCGAAGAGAAGAGAATAAGAAGAAGAACAAGAGGAAGAGAGAGAGGGAGAGAGAAAAGGTCTATCGTTTTTCTTTTCTTTTCTTTGATATAAATCCAAGATCCGAAGCTTACTAGTATATTTGGCATAGACAAACACTGTTCTCCGATGTTTATATTATCCTTTTTGATGCTACGATTTCTTCTTTTTTCTTTTCTTCTGTTCTTTTCTTATTGATATGTGGGAGTATACTATTGCATATGCGGTTTTTCTTTCTTTCGGATTTTTTTTAGATTTGTTTTTAGCAGTGCCTGCAATTGCCGTCATCCGTTGTTTTCTATGGCTGACGATCCAAACTCAAATGAAATAGTTGACGGGGATGATGTACCCGAACTAACTGATTATGATCAGTCTTCAACAGTAGCTATTTCAAATACTACACCAGCTGCAGTTGAAGATTATGCTGATGATGATGAACCAATCGAAGATTATGTTGTTAATATGGTTGTTAATGAACAACCCGATGGTCTATCACCTGACTTAATTAATGCAGCTATCGCAGAATCTAATAATGGAGGACGAACATCAATCTATGATTCGGTCACAACAGCACTTTATGACGAATTGAACGGAAATGGTACCGCTATTACTGGTGGTAAAAGATGGTGGGGTAAGTTTGTCAACCAGAAATTAACAGAACAAAAATTAGGAAAGAATAGAAAAGAAAATTAATAGAAGCGTGTATGTATATATATATATGTGCGTGTATATATTTGACTTAAGCACAGATAAGCAGTAACCGATAATATAGGGAAAAGACCGGGGAGAGAGAGAGAGTCAACTACAACGACGCAGAGTGTGCTAGCATATACAAGGTCTTTGTTACCACTTCTGTTTACATATCTCAGAGGAATGAGTATGACAAAGACAATAGTCGATTAGGACAAGGAACCTATGTTTAAAGAACGTCAATAGCAAGGTCAAATAGTGTATAATCAGCAATTTTAGGAGCTCATTTTTCAATTGACATACGGTCGTCTTTTTTCGTTTAGTTACAAGAATAAACCTTGAAAGACGAGACAGAACGCAACAAAATCTATTTGTGTGTGTGTGAATATGTCCTTTTTATTTCTAATCGAATATGTAATTTAAAACAATGCTAAGAAAGAAGGAAAAAAAAAGAACCAGACTATATTAAAGAATAACTATGCAATATAAATGTTCGTTTAGTGTTTTCTTTTCGTCATATGTTTCATATTATCTTTAAAAATTGAAAATTATTTTTAACGAGTCCAATTTTTTGTCGTTTAAAAATAAATATGAGAAATTATTATCATCAATCTTCATGTTAATAATTATTCATCAGACTAAAGAAGGATTATTATTAATACAAGGTTTTTCTGTTGTTAAGATAAAGATGATATTTTATATGTTGTTATTAGGATATTTACTTTTATGATTTTAGGTTGGTCGTGGCAAAAAGCTATTCTTATTGGTTTAGTGGCTCTATGTATTCTTGGCATAATTCTTGCCGTTTTGTTTTTAGTTTTTGGTAAGAAACTTAAGAATAAAAAAAGAACACCACCAACTGGTTCAACTACTACAACAAAAGCTGTAGTAACAAAAGGCGTATCACCAGACCCGAAATATCAACCAGTGCCAAATATTGTTTGAAAAATCTTTGTCATCTTCTCCTTTTTCTCTAAAACTCTATCTCTTTTTTCTTTTCTTCTTCTTATTTTTTCTCGCTTTGTCTTTTTTTGTCTTTTTCAAACGGAGTGCGTTTTTCATATGTGTGTGCGTAGCGTTGTTTTCTTCTTTTTTTTCTTTGTGCAAGATGATGAACGATAGTTTCACTTCTATATTTTTTCTCTTCTTTTTAATATACACACGCACATATATATACGTGTATTTTTTACCTTATTGGCTAAATCAAGTGAAGCACGATTAACATCATTGGAATCTTTAATTATTTCAACTTGAGATTTACCAAATTTATCAATATAGAATGACTAAAACAGACAAGTTATCAAATTTAAAGAACAAAAAAAAAACTTCTTATTAATATACTTCAAGTCGAGAAGCGATCTCGGCTAATTTTGTTATTCCTGGTTCTTTATAAATAAATTCTTGTCCATCGAATTCATCAAATTTTGTTCCATAAAATCCAACACGAAAATAAGTACCAAATAAACGTTTATTTCCCTTCAAAAGAAAATTCATAAAATAAAATTAATACATGTTTTACTTCGTTTCTTTTCTTTTTTTTTTGTAAAATATTTCTTACTTGAATAAGTATTCGATTGAAATATTCATGTAATTTGCTATGTACTTGAGAGAGTTTTTTAAAATCTCTATTAGCTTCATAAATTGGTGTTAAAACATGATAAATATCATTTACCGCTTCATACATATGTGCCTTTAGAGAAATAAAAATAATAATCAATTAATCGATAAGTAAAAACAACTGCACGTAACATACATGAGTAAGAAAAACTGCTGCTTGTTCCATAAGACCGATAAAACCATTTTCAGTAAAATATTTTCCTGTACAAATACCTTCATCACCAGGTGATACAACATCATCACTAACTGCACTTTCTTCTAATAAATTCATTGAAATTTTCTAATAAGAAAAAATAAAAATTTCATAATTTATTTGATTTTTAACAAACTTGTAAAGCAACACAACCATTTGGCATATAAGATTTCGATTCAAGCATACGAAGATATTCAGCAACAAGACTAGCTGCATGTGCTAAACACATTCCAGCTTCAGCATAATGATTCATCTAAATAAGAATAAAGAATTTTCCTAATTTATAATTAAAGAAGCACTTTGATACAGTTATGCTTTATTAGAGATAGAAATAGGAATTACGAGACAAATTTTGTTACGGTACAACTAAAGTCCTTTTCCGGTTATCGATGCTGTGACAGTAATGTTAAAAGGCAATATATAAGATATTTCCATATCACCTTGTATATCTTAATGATTCCTCTTATCAAAAAAAAACGAGAAATGATAGGAGTATCAATATTTATTTTACTCTAATTAGAATTGCTCGATTTTTTTAAATATTTTGTTTTTCTCGAGTATATATACATAGAAATCTTATTGTTTAGCAGATATATTTTTTTCTAATATTGACAAAGAGATTATGTATTCAAATACATGTTTTATTTTATTTTGTTAACAGTATGAATATAGATAGAGCTTTTATTATTCTAGTAATTAGATTAATCGAGGAAACTAAATTTTGTTCTATTGAGTCTGCTTTATCATACATTATAAATCAAAACACATATGGAGAAAACAGTTTTTTTTTCCTAAGAAGATTTCTCATTAACTGATAAGATATTTTCGGCTTGTCATATCAATTGAAGATAATATAAGATTATCGTATCGACTGTTTTTATATCCAATCATGTACGAAGAATTTAAGTCAATTGCTTTTTTGGTGGTACATGAAAATGTCAAGAATGACTGAAAGGTCATTAGTTTGACGGGCATATAATTTTTTTTTCATTTACCGCTAAATGTTTTTGAGCCATATTTTGTAACCAAGTAAGTCGAAGATCAGGACTATTTTGATAGCAATTAGCTATACGATGAAGAAGATCAAGTTCCATATCAGGATTATCCTTAACAGAAAAATTAAAAAAACAAAAAAATTTCAAAATAAAATTACTTTTGCTTCACGTAGTTTAACTGTATCACATAAAATCATATATAAATTTGTTGCTAAATCTTTCACTTGACTTGGAAATGCACTTTCTTGTAAATCAGTATCACCATCGGCATATGTTAATATAGTTCGTAATGATTTACGTAAAAATATTTCATTAAATTGTGATGTGGATTGTCCAACAAGCCATGATAATGACATTGTTGCTTGCATTTTAACTCGGGAAAAATTCTTTTAAAATAAAATAACAAAATTATGATTATAAGATTCAATCTAAGACTTTGCTCAATTATATTTTAGATCATAACAAAAAACAAATAGTGAAAATTATTTTCATTTGAGATATATAATATGATATAGTCAATTACATATGATTAGAATCAAACGACAATAAGGTTAGATTTTCTAATATAATTTATTGATTTTATCCGGAACAATCATTGGATAATTAAGGATTTGTATTTCAAATGATGAGTACATTCAAAAATATAATAGACTTTTATTAATATTCTTTTGTTTTCATAATGTATTTATAACTTTTCTCAAGTTCTTATCGAAAGATTGATCTTATTCAACAGAATTTATGATGTCTGTAGATAGAGTACTGATATGATCTCTTCTTAGTCTGAGAGAGTTATAAATATATTTACATTTCCAATTTCAAAATTTTGTCTCATTAATAAATAAAGTGATGCCGATGCATGAGAACGTATTGTACTTAAGCATGATGAACAATGTTTTAATAGACGAAGACATAAATCAGCACAATGTTCTGTATCTTCTTCAAAAAGAAGTTCAGGAAACTAATTTAATAAAGAAAAACAAACATAAATTTTATTTTTATTCTAAAATTAGATTTGATTTACTTTATAAACAATTGAACGTTGATGAGAAAATAAATTTTGTAGTGTCCATGTACTTTGATTAAGTGCAAATGCATGTAAAAGAATTTTAAGTAAACCAGGTAAAAGTATTTGATGACAATCTGTTGTTTGTACAACCTAGTTTTAGTTTTTAAATAAGAAATTAAATAATAAAAAATAAATAAAAACTAACTTGTATAATTGTTTCAATTGTATCTAAGACAATCATTGTACATTCAGATGCAAGAATACTTTCTAGATGAGCATCAATAGCGATATCTTCTTCACTTCTAGAAAAACAAATTTTAATTATTTGATTTTATTCAATTGTAGGATTCTATTATTGAATTTCTTATGAGAATTAACCTTGAAAATCATAGACGATGTTAAGTGAATTTGGAAATCAAATCATCTTAATTCAATGTATTTATTTCTCTTCTATCAAATATGCATATCTTTATTTGTCAATAGAATATAGATTATTAGATAAAATTAGTCTTAAAAGATTTATCTCATGTATATCGAATTTTAAATCTATGACTAATATTCGAGATAATGATTGAAGAAAAACATGGGTATAATAAATATAATTAATTAAAAAAATCAACGATTGTATTCTTGGATGAGAAAAGTAAAAAATGACATGTATCGATTTAAGTGATATTGATAAGAAGATTTTTTATTACAGATACGCATATAGAATCTACACTAAGATGGTATGCTTCGAATTTGAACTTCAGTTTTTTAGACATACGAGACTTATGAAAATCGTATTCCTTCTATTAAAGTCCTTCACAAGAGTATTCAAAATTTATGCTTATTAATAAAACTTTTATGAAATATAATATTAGACCTTTCTGTATTTGCTTGTCTCCAATGTGTTTGATCTTTTCTCCAACGAAGATTATTATTATTTTTATTTGATTCTAGAAATCAAAAAAGAAAAGAAATATTTTATATAATATAATTTAACTTCGTTTACCATGAGTTGATGAAATGGGATTTTTTTGTTTTGTTCTATTTAACATATCTGTTCTTGCATTATCTGTTCCAATAATAGATTTTTCTAATTGATTTTTAACTGATATCATTGATGTTTTTTTATTTGATGCACATGTTGAAATCGCAGCAAGTACAGATGCATGTCCACCTGCACCAATACGATGATGACGTTTCAATTGTTTTTTACCTTTATATTCAAAACTAGCAATGGATAAATCAAGTAATTGTATTAAATGTTGAAGTTGTTCACGTGTCATATGCATCCACCAATGACGAAGAACAGTTGAATCAATATTTTTTAATAACCATAATAAACATATTAATAAATCTCGAGATGTTTCTTCACTAAATGTTGTCATTGATGATACACGTTTCTTAATGAAAAAAAGAAGAAGAAAATATAAATTAATCAATATGAAAAAGTATATATATAGTTTACTAAAGTTCCATCATTTTCTATAGCAAGTTCATCACCATTTGAAGTAATAAGATCATCAGATGGTGTAACATTTGGACGATTTAACTGGCCTATAATATAAAGAAAATAAAATATTAAAATTCAATCGAAATAATAAGAAATAGCATGAGCAATTCTCAAACCTTTTTTCTATTAACTAAAATATATTTATTTTTCCCGTAAGAAATAAAAACGAAACATTAAAGATTAGTATCTTACCGTATGAAGCATTTCCTGGATCAAATAATTTATTAATATTACTTGAAATAATATGAAGTAATGGTAAATAAAGTCTTGCAACACGATTTCGATTATTTTTTTCATCATTAATTAATAAACGTTGATCAAAATCATGACAAGATAAAACATTTCGTAATATATTTATCGCACGACTATGAAGCCATGGAGAACTAGAATATCAATATTGATTTTAATATATTTTACAAACTCTTAATGATGTTATTAAATACAGAAAGATATGATCAAGTTAAATGTGGTCCAAATTTGGAGTGTACAGATGTGTAGGTTTTCGCAAAATACTCTACCTAAAAACTGTCATAATATGTTTTTTATTGCTCTAATAGATACTCTGGACTGTGCTGAGTCGACTGGTGGTGTTCCATACAAAAAAGCACAAAGTTGTAGGCCACGATTTGTCGAAAAACTTGAAACTGGTAAACTTGACCAAGCGGCGGATCTAAGGTTTTAGAAGGGGGAAGCGATTTTGGCTAAAAGCTATTTTTTGAGCCCAATCGAAGTAGTGTGAACCTATTTTTTCGTTCATTTTTGCTACAGAAAATCAAAAAAAATTTCAGAAGGCGATGGAGGTGATCGCCCCCTAAATCCGCCACTAACATGACCCCTTCATATCTGTTTATATATTTCTTACTTATTTGAAAGAACATTTTGTAAGTCATGTAAAATAATTCCAACAAGATAATGTTCTTGACGATATTCATAAGTTAAATCTGTTTGTTGAATAGTCATTGCACGTTGATGATTGCCATTTGTTGTATTGTTATTTGATGAATAAGATTGCATACTACCAATACTTGGCGAGGGTGATGGTGGAATTGTTGGTAATAATGGAAGATTAAGTGCAATATAATGTTCATGTGAGCAAATAATTCGAATAAAATCTAATTTTAAAGATATATAATATGATGTATCTGTTGGTTGTCCATGTGTTATTTCAAGATCAAACTAAATATATTCAAAAGATATTTTTTCTCTTCTTCTAATTCTTATTTTTGTTAACATACTTCTTTACAATAAATTTTAATAAGACTAAAAACAAAACCTCTATCCATAAGTGTTAAACAATCATTGATAAAAAATGCTAATGATGTATTTAATTGTGTACAATGAATTTTTCCATCAATACCATTTCGTTGTGTTTGATGTTGTCGATCAAGTAATTCTCGTATAATTAATCTTAATAATGTTGTTATATCATCACAAAATTGATATGAAAAACGATGACGACGTTCAATTGAAAAACGGTTTGTCATATGTAAATAATGTCCCATTGTTTTTATCTAATGTATTATTATTATAAGAGAGAAATGTTTTTGATAGAACTAAATCTTAAACTTACTAATAATTCAAAGAAAAACCAACTATTACCAAATGCAAAATCTCGTGTTGCACCTGATGAAACAACCCATTGAAATAATAATTCTTCATGTAAAGGCTAAAATAAAATATAAAAATAGATACTTTTTTTGTTCTCATAGAAAATAAAGCGTTAATTTATATGCAATACAATCCCCCCGGCTCCCACCAATTTTAATCTTATCTCACTTACATTATAAATATTCACTAAGGATGAAAAGAAATAGTAATAAGAAAACACAAAAAAAAAATAATATATATATACTTTTCGTTGTTGTGCTGTTTTTGTTGAATAAGCAGCATCTTTTATAATACCTTGAGATGTTTCAATAGTTTGTTTTCCAGATGAAATACCTAGAAAAGATATATAAAGCAAATATGTAATAAAACAATAGATTTACCTGTAGAAATTAAACTACCATTAGCAAGTGCCAATTCATCTTCAGGTGATAATGATGGACTAGGTAGATCAGGATTTGATGTACTACGTGGTACACGACGTTGAAAATAGAGTGAACTTGGACGAAGACTAGCTGATTTTGATGAAATAGCACTTGGATCTAGAAATTTCAATTGTTATGAAAATAAAATAAAACAAACATTTATATTTACCAGTTTCAGTTGGTGTATGTAATGTACATTCATAATGAATATATGTTAAAAGTAAACGATTTCGTCCATGTGTATCATTAAGATCAGCAAGAAGATCACGTTGAATACGTTGAACTATTTTTGTTAATGTTTCAAAACATGTTTGATTCACATTTACTAAATTAAATCATCAATATTTATTATTATACATGAATAGAACTGAACTTTGTATGATAAATTTGATCGTAGGAAAAAAGAAATGTTTGTATTACAAAAATATATATGAGAAGAAATTTAAAACTCAATACTATTGATATGTAATAATGAAGATAAGAAAGCAAAATTTAGAAATTCAATATCGAAATAATTGAAGATAGATTGTTCGTAAATATAGCTGAGGTTAATTTTTCTAGTAAAATAAAATATTTACGTATATGTCCATTGAGTATTGGTGATCGAACTAATAATGAAAGAAGTGTATCAAGAAGAATATAAAGAAATTGAATAAGTTTTTCAGATTGTGCCCAAACAGTATCCATAATTGCTTGTTTAAAATCTTTATCTGTTATTTGATAATGTGAATGATGATGGTGATGAGAAGCATAAGCTTGTTTTCGAAGTTGATTATACATATGAAAAAAATTTTCTAATCGTTCATCCTAAATTTAATTTAGTTTTTTTAATTAAATAAAAATACAAAAAAAAATTTTGATTACTAACCAATGAATGAATTGTTGATGATGGACGAATTGATAATGAAAATAACGGTTTATGATTATCAGCCCATTTAACATTGTTCATATCATGATTCTAAAATGAATAGATTGATTTTCATAATCGAAAGGTTTTTTTACTTCCATTGAAAAATTAAACTTTAGGAAATTTTATTAGAATATCTATCAGATTTGGAAACACTTTATATGGATATCCAATCTTTTTTTGGAGATATTTCAAATCATTTTTGACTTATAATTATATTTCTCTAGAGATTTCGTAAAAGACTATTCTAATATTTCTGTAACGAAATCCCGCTGTGAATCAAAATCTTATTAAGAACTGTCATAAAATCAATTCCTGACACAAATTCTAATAAAAATAAACCCTAATATATCGTGAGATTAATATAGTCATTCGAAAACACAACGTAATTACATAGCACATTTTATTGAATTATCTACAAAATACTGTATTAAACTTCATAAAATAGATTGAATTATTGTGTAATTACTTTTCTTAGCCAGTATATAGAAAACTGAAAAATGTACTATTCCTATTTCTGATTTAAATTAACTAATAATTTACCGTTGGTGGTACAAGTGAATAATTATGTGGTGGTCTTTCACATGCGACAGGTAGATTAAAATCTCCATGAATAAGTTGATTATTATTTAATAATGGAAGCCACTAAAAAATAAATTCTTAATAAATTATTTTCTTTATGTATTTATCTTACTGTATAACCAATAGGAATTTCAACAGGAGCATTTTCTTTTGGTTGACAACTAATATGTGAAAAAGTAAAAAATAAATGATGATTTTCATCAATAACAGCAGGAAGACGAATTTTAACTTCATCATAAAATGAAGGTGATTTGGAATGATAAACAACAGGTAAATAAATTTCTTTAATCATTTCAAGTCCAGATGATTTTCCATAAATTAATGCTAAAGAAAATATTTCTTCTTCACCACCCATTAATTGTATTTTAACCGCAATATTTCTTGCTGATGTTGAACCACGTGTTGTTAAATTTGATAAATTAACAGTTAATGGATAAATATAAAGAAGATTACGATAGAATGTATGTGGTAAATTGATTTCACGTGGTGGAAATTCAAGTAATTCTTTTATTGGACGTTTTGTATCATCAGTATATGGTTTTAAACGATTTAATTGTGGATCAAGACAACAATCAACTGTATCACCTGGATGAATTTGATTGAATTCAAAACGAATATAAGCTAAAAATAAAATATAACATTGTTTTTCTTTAGTATTGAAATTTTTAGTTTGAAATTTACCTGGAATTGTTTTAGGTTTTTTTGCTAATGTTGGTGGTTTACGAAAATCGGTTAGAAATTTAAAAATATCTTCATCACTTAATCGTTCACTTTCCTGAGACAAAAAATATTTTGTTCTAAAGTAAAATAAAGATTTTTGTTTTTTCTTACTTGTTTATAAACTCCTTTAAGTGTATGAACAATTGTTCGATCAAAATTTGCTAAAACATGAAAAAATTCATCAGATACTGTTGAAAGATTTGTATTTGTTGTTGTTAAAGTTGATGTTGGTGATGAACTTGAAATTTGTCGTTCATCTGTTCGTTTAGAATTATTCCGTGTCAAACTTTCTTCACGTGAACGTCGAAAACTTTCATATGCATTTCGAAGACCACCTGTTCCAATACTTTTACGTTCTGAAATTTAGAGAGATTATTTTTACTTATAAAGATAATCATAGTTTCGTTTTTTACCAAGACTAGATGCTTTCGAAACTGAATTAATTAATTCCGTATTAGCTGGTAATGTATTTGAATGACTTGATGAAAGTGTTTCTTGTTCAACTTCTTTGAGAATATCACGTAGACTAATTGCTGTCCAAGCAAATGGCATACGAAAACGACCAAGGCGTTGACAAAATTGTATCGCTTGTTCATGATATCGTTGTTGATTCTAATTAAAAAATCGAACAAAATTATCATTCTATTATTTGTATATCTTCTTATCTATCGAATAAATACATTCTAAAAATGCGCGCGTGAGTGTACCGAAAAAAAACAGATGTTTTTGAATGAAGAATATGTTTTGAATACGTGCTCTTCATTTATACAAAAAAACGGATCATTTTTCCCCAGTCACGTTTATGATTGAAGAGAAAAAAAACAATTACTTTGAGATCTTGTTTAATATATGGTTCAGCACAATCCGATGAATCACCTTGTTGTAAAATTTTTTCAATCTAAAATTAAAGATCATATACAAAAAAGGCATGATTTTTGTTTTGTTTCTTACTCGAATGATAAGATAAATATCAGGTGATGGAAATGATATAGGAAAAATCGCCGACAGACTTAATGTTGAACCATCAACTGCTGGTCGAATATGAATCATTTGTTTTAATGCATCAGAATTTAAATCAAAATGAAAATTTTCCGAAATCTTAATCAATAAAAAATAAAATTCTAGAGAAAAATTTCAATTAAAAAACAATACCTTTTTTCGTTCTTTAAAATCATATAATGCTAATGTGACAAACATTGGTTCAATTTCTGGTTCAAATCTAAATAAATTAATAGAAAGTTTAATTCTAAATCCTTCTTGTGTTTTTCTTTACTTGAAATCTAAACATTTAACTTGAAGTTTAAATGTTGTATATGGTTGAAGAGGTTCAGATGGTAAACGATATTCAATACAATCAGTCTACAAATTAAAATTTTATTCGATTTTTTTTCTTTCTTTGTAACTTACATCTGCTTGAGGTGGATAAGAACTAAATAATTTTGAATAACGACTTTTTCCTCGTAATAATTCATTTTCTTTATCAACACTTTCAATTGGAATTCGTTCAACTAAAGCAAAATCAGAATTAATATAAAACAATAAAATGTAAACTTACTTAAATGAGGCATTATTGTGTCTGGTTCAGTTTTATCTAAATCATCTTTTGCTAAAGCCCAACTACTTTTTGTTGGAATAATTGTTGAATCACTAATCGCTGATTTTCTTGGGCTATCCTAAATAAAAAACATTTTTTTTTGTTAAATTATTTCGAATGAAAAAGAAATATTTTTCTATACTCTTTCTTGATCAATTAAAGTTTGTCGATTATCATCAATAATATCAATTTCATAATCTTGTTTTGATGTTTGTCTTAATGCCTGCATTTGTTCATGACGAACATTTAATAATGTTATTGCACTTCCAAATTGATTATAACTTTAAAGAAGAAAAAATTAATATTTTATTTTTAATTAAATAAATTATTTTTTTACTTTCGTTTAAGAAAAAAATGTTCACCATTAAAACTTTGTAAACAATCACGTATATGTGGATCATTTAAAGCTCTAGAAAATAAAAATGTTTCTTATAATTTAATTTTTTTGTCTTTAAATATTCGAACTCTTTTTCCGGCATTGTTGGAATAATAGTACGATATTGTCGATCAATACGTATAAAATCAATATCATCAGTTGGATATTCAAGTAAATGACGTAATGGATCATTTTCAATTTTTTGTCGATGTTCATCGATATATTCTTCATAATCAATTGGATCAATTATATCAATGACATTTGTTGCCATTTTATTTGAAAAATTCTTTAATTAAATAAATATATGTATGAAATAAAAACTTAAAAAAAGAATTTACAAAATCTGTTTGTGTTGTTTCTATTTCTTCTTTATTTTCAATTAATGGAAGAGAAGAAGAAGAATTTTTCGGTTCATTAGACAAAAGAGATATTACTTCTTGAAGATGTTCTCTAGAGAATCAAAAAAGAAATGAAATACAAAGAATACTTTTAAATTAACAAACCGAAGACGAAGTGTACCAGCCATTGCATTCCGTTAGATTAAAAGAAATATAAAATAGATATGATCACTATCTGATTAGACATGAATGAACGAGTAATAAAAATCGGATATGCGCGCGCCATCTAACGTTAGAATTCTAATATATATCTGATTGTATATTAAAAATATCAAAACAATTGTTTTTATTTATAAAATTACAAGAAGAAAAATAAGAATTTTAAAGCCATAAACGAAATGTATCTGCACTGTAATCCGTGAGAAATGAATCATTGTCATGTAAGTTTGAGTTTTCAATAATCCATTCACGAATACCTTGAGTTAAGATCTTCGAATCGATTTTAATATTTGCAACACCAAATGATATAAGACAATTCCATTTTGATAAATGATTTAAAACAGTTAGAATTATTGATTCAGTTGAATTCTTACTATCTTTTGAATGAAAATATAAATGTTTTAAAGATGGACATACAGATGCAAGACGAGTTATAAATATAGGGATTGCTTCGGAATTTATTTCCGAAGTTATACCTATGAGTAGATCAGTAACACGACGTCCTAATAAATTACAGACAATATCACTGGCAAATAATGAATCGAGTAGTTCGTAAGCAATTGCCATATGATATAAATTAGGTGCTGCTTCAAGTAATCTCTTAAAATCATCTGTATTGATTGATAAGGTCTGAAATGCCACGAAAAATGTCAAGTAGGGTAATTTTCTCAATTGAATCTCTTGGAAAGACTCTACAAAAGAAGAATATCAATATAATCTAATCTATATATATTTGTATAGGATTTTACCTGGAATAATTTCTGGATAGATTTGTAAAATAAGACGTTGCATTCTATGACATTTATTAATAATTGAAAATGTTTCAGCTATTCGTGTTGATACTTCATAAAGTGTTAAACATTTAACTTCATATCCAAAATTATCACTAAAATTTTTATTTTTTGCTAATGAATATCTTAGAGTTAAATATGGGTAATTAAATGGTAATGAATATAAAATAATACTTTCATTATCATCACTATTTATACAAATAAAATCTTGTTGAAATTCTTTCCAACTAGAAATAACGTCTGTAGTATCAACGAGAGATATATCTTGAAATTGAAGAAAATAAGTAAATTTTTTTAAGGATAACAACGATGATAAATGAGAATACATTTGTTCACCATCAATTAAACGAGTATCATAATGAGTATTAATCTGTATAATAAGTTCTTCAATATTAGGAATACGTCGAAATATTGTTACAAGGTCAGCTAATTTCCATGATTGAATAAATGATCGTAAACGAAAATATTTTAAAGTAACAATTGGAATATATTTTATATCTTCATCAATTTCTAAATCTTCTCCATTAATAGCTACATCAATAGATTTCAATTGAGGTAAATCTGTAAGTAATCGATGTAAATCACTGAGACAATCTAATTCGATTACTAAATTTTCAATATGTAAATAATTTACATCAGTATTATTTTTATAGGAAAACGATAATGAATCATCATCAAATAAAATCGATGTTAGACGATTATTATTAGCAGTAAAAAGTTTTTCTAATAATGCTTGTTGTGAAGTCGAACTGGTACCCATTTCGTATACACTCATGATTTTTATTTCAAATAATAATGGTAAATTTTGAAGACAATCAAGAAACGATGCTAATGAATCGATTAGATATGTCGGAAGTATTAATTGTTTAAGACATGGAAATATCGAAGACATTTTTTCACCGAAATAATTAAGAAATATTTTTGAAAGAACACCTTTCCAATCATTACTCACAACTAATGAAGAAATTTGAGTACCAATTTGAGGTAGAATTGTTTTACAAATATAATTAAATCGTTTAAATGGAATTTGTGCAAGAACAACATGTCGACAAAAACCACTTATTGTTTTACTTAATCGAGAATTAAGACCAACGAAAGAAAATAATATTTCAGTCGATGATAAATATTCACAAATTAGAAGTAAAATTTCATCAGGTAATGCTTCTAAACGAGTTTTAGTTAAAATAAATGATGACATATCTAAAATTTTAATTATATATATTAAGGGCAATTTATCTTACTCTTTTACGTAGTTATTCTCCTTCATGTCAGTTTCTTTTCTTTTTCTTTGGTAAAATCGTATGTAACTGATTCTGGTTGCTTACGGAGAAAGGAATATATATTTTTCTTTTTCCTTTTCTGTCATCATACAAAAATAAAAAAACACCATGTGATCTTGACGAGAAAAGAGTACAAATTGTTATTTATTTATTTTTGTGACGTAACTTGAAAAATAATCGTATAAGTGTATTGTTTATAAAAATCAAATATGATTTATTTATTAGAATATTTGATTCTATAAAAAGATTTATTTTTTTATTATTGTTATTATTTTAGTATAATCTATTATTCTTTTCTTTTTCTTATTTTGGAGATATTGACGATCGTTGTGTTATCATATTTTTTGTTTTGAAAACAAACAAAGAAAATATTTGACATATGCTTTGTATGTTGGTTGTTTTGATTAGATTGAGTTAACTATTTCTACACTGGGAATATTTTTGAAATCCTTGATTTTCGCAAATCTATGAATTCAAATTTTTCTCCCAGCAAAAAATTGCAGATTGAAAATTGCTAGTTCTCTTTCTGGTAGAGAAGAGTCTAGCAGAAATAAATTGTTTGCTTGCTTGTGTGTCCGCACTTCACTGATTAGTCTAACAATTAGGTAAAGATATGAAAACAAATTTTGTATAAGGGTAATCGGAATCGAACAATTCAAATCTGACTTCTGTTTTTTTTAATTATATAAATCGATAGCTTGGTAGTTGTTGAGTAACTCGATTTCTAAGAGAAAGAGCGTTACTTGTGGTTTTTAAGTACTTGGAAAATATTGATCGAATTCATATAGATATGTCTAGAATATCCTTCAAAAAACTCTATAATTTATTTTCTAGTTTACAGTGTACATCTGAGATATTATTGATAGAAATAAATTTTCATACTATTTACTAAATTAAAAAAAAATCGTATAAAAATTTATAGTAGATAAATAGTCTTTGTATAATAGTTAAATTAAAACCACAATCGAAATATATTTCCTGTATAATCAACAAAAAATGGTTTATAATCATATAAAGTAGAATTTTCCAATATCCATTGATGAATATCTTTTGATACGAGTTCTTTTGTTATAATAATATCTACAATTCCAAATGATATAAGACAATGACAATTAGGTAAATATTTGAGAATATCTAAAATTGTTAATTCCGATGCTTTATAATCTTTTAATAAACTGAGATAGAAATGTTTTAAAGATGTAGCTATTGTTGTAAGACGAGATATTGACGAAACAACTGATTCAACATCTATTGTTATAGGTATAGATATATACAGATGAGTTATACGACGTCGAAATAATTCACATATATATTCATTATCAAGTAATGATTGAATAAATTCAAAATTAACTTCTAAATGATATAAATTCGGTGCTATTTCAAGTAATCTTCGAAAATATTCCATATTAACTGATGATCCACGCCATGCTAAAACTTTCGTAAGATAAGGTAATTTACCAAGATGAATTTGTTGTAAACTTTCTAGAATAAATAAAAAAACAAAAATTGATTTTAATATATTATTAACAAAGAAATTTTACGTGGTACTATTTTTTCATCCATTCGTATATTAAGTCTTTGTATTTGACGAGATTTTTTAATAATCGAAAAAATATCAACTAAATCAGTTGAAACTTCATATAAAGTTAACATTTTAACTTGAGATGCATAACTATCAATGAAAATTTCATTTCGAGCTAATGTACCATGTAAAATTAAATAAGAAAATATAAATGGGACAGTATATAGAGCTATTAATTTTTTCTCATCATTTTTAATACAAATAAATTTTTGATTAAATTCTTTCCAACTCGAAACAATTTTTTTTGAATCAACAAGCGAAGAAGACGATGAATTATAATATTGAAGAAAATAATTAAATTTATGTAAAGATAAATTTGAAAGTAATAGACTAAATTTTTTTCCATCAATTAAACGTTCATCATCATAAGTTTCAATTGAAATTGAAAGAATCTCAACATTAGGAATACGTTTTAAAATAGATGCAAGTTCATCATAACTCCATGATGGACTAAATGATTGTAATTGTAATTCTTTTAAACTATGAACTGGTGTACAAGTATTTATATTGTCTGGTATTGATGAATCTTCATTTATAGTTACAGTTATTGATATAAGTTGAGGTAAAATTGTAAGAAGTTGATGAAGATCACATAATGTTTTTATATCAAGACTTAATTTTTGAATATTACAATAAAATCTATTACAAATTTTATCATCAACAGAGAAAATAATTGATTCATCATCAAATAATATGGAATTTAATCGATTATTATTGGCAGAAAATAGTCTATCTAATAATGTTTCAGAGCCATCGGAATCAATCGATCCATCGTATTGAAAATATAAATTAATTCCACGTAATTGTGGAAGATTTTGTAGAGAATTAAGAAATAATTTTAATGAATTAGAATTAAATGATATAAATGTTAAATGTTTTAATTGTGGAAATATCAAAGACATTTTATCACTGAAATAATTTAAAAATAATGTAGATAAAACACCTTTCCATTGATTACTAATGACTAATGAAGAAATATTTAAACCAACATGAGGTAAAATCGATGTACATATACAATGAAATTGTGTATATGGAAGTTTAGCAATAACAACATGTTGATAATAACCACTTATTGTTTGAGATAATCGAGAATTAAGTCCATAGAAAGAAAAAAGTACATCTGCGGATGATAAATATCGACAAATTGAGAGAAGTAATTCATCAGGTAATTTTTCCAGAGTATTTTTTGTAAAACGGGATGATAACATCTATTAAAATTAAAATATATTTATTTAATATTATTTTTTTTTGTCATCTATAACGTTATGCAGGGTGACTAAAAAGCCACGCGTTCGACGAAAAAATTGAATATCTTCATTGTGACTTGAGTAAACGAATTGATTTTTTATCAATGTTAGGGGCATGTTCAAGGTTTATGTTCATAAGGACATACCCTCTGCTAAGTAACCCTATTGACTTCAAGAAAAATATTTTGCTGTTTAATATATCAACAAAAAAAATAATGTACAGGCGGGTCAAAAGTCATTTTATCGAGAAAAAAATTTGAATATCTTCGTTATGACTTAAGTAAACAAGCTGATTTTTTTATCAATGGTAGAGGCATGTTCAAGGTTTATATTTCTAAGGACAAGCGTAGAAAGACCCTTTGTTAAGTATATTATTCTTTTTTTGTCTATCTGTCGACCAGTAAAATGTTTTTGTTGAGACTTCTGTAGACATTTAATAAAGGGTCACTCTGGGCTTGTCCTTATGAATATAAACCTTGAACATACCTTTACCATTGGTAAAAAAAACCAGGTCGTTTGTTCAAGTCATAATGGAGATATTCGATTTTTTTCGTCGGATGCGTGACGTTTTTGGTCACCCTGTATATATATATTGCGTATGGTTATTGACTGTTTACAACAAAATTTATAAAATAATTTTTGCTATCGTTGACAAGAAAAGATTTTTTCGTTCTTATTTCTTTTTAGCACGTGCACCGAGAATCAAACTTTATCGATAACATATAAAAATATTATTTTACGTCTTATTTTTCTTTTATAGTGTAATAAATCAAATAATTTTTTTTTCATAAGTAATATGTACTTGAAATGTCCATTTAATAAACAAACGTTGACCTTGTTAATTTACGTAACGAAATACGAAATACTTTAAAACATCGAAAAATATTTTCATTTCTTACTATGAGATAATTTATTGTTGCAATAGACTCTACGGCTTTTATTGACACACAAAAAAAATGTATTTGAATAGTATGTCTTTACAGTTTACAAATTTGTCATAAATCAATGAAAGTTTTTTGTACTTGCTCGTAGTAGTTTTTTTCGATTCCAAACTTAGAAAATTTATATTAGAAGATGTATCCATTTTGTTATTCATGGAATCAATGTACTTTTTTTTATTACATTTAATAATTATTTTCGATGTATCTAAAATACGAAATAATTCTATTTCTCGATCAATTGTTAATCCTTTGAAGATCGATTTGTTTTATTAAATTCAACTCATATACATCTAAGTCTTCATCAGAGAGGTGAAGTTCATGCTAATCAAAATCAAAGTCTATTTTTGCTACTATCATGATTGATATATGATTCATAGGACTCATCATTGACTTCATTATTTCCATAGAATTCCATTTGAGGGTATGAATGTGGACGTATTGAATCTACTCTGATTTCTACCACACCTAGCAACACTCTCACGATGGTTTTGATCGGTTGTATAACAAACGAGCAAGATGTTGTTTAGTAATGAATTATGTACAAAAGACGTTGGCAAGATTTTTTAATTTACTTGATAAAGTGATACCATGAAACTGTTCGATATGTATAATAAGCTACTCAATCATATTCGTAAAGCAAAACTCGTCATTTTTTTGAATTGAAAAGCATACATTTTAATGCAAAAATATTAAGGCTTCCAAACTTGTTTGACGTCATCAAAAGAAAAATTTTTTTTCTGTAAGTGCGGTGACCTGTCGTCCTTTGTCGGTTCAAATAATTGAAAAATAAAACAATCAATGAATTTTTTTCGTATATTCATTCTTTGCCGTGTAATTTCAAAGTGAGAGTAGGCATGACTTAAAATTTCAATAGTGATTGCGGACGAAAATGGCGATCCACATCAAACAAACCATTTAGAAACTGCCTATTATTTTCTTGGTTGACGATTAACGATGGCTAGTAGATCGATTAGCTTTCTGGTCAAGTAGGAGGTTAATTGACAGTTTCTGATCGCTTCGTCTGATAGTAGCAGATTTTCAATTTTGCTTCTAATAGGTATGCATCGGTGCCAGTTAACTGGATACTACACCATGATTAAGGTATTTTTAATAGTTTTTCATAGTCTGCCCTAATTAAGCAAAACCTCAAATTTTTTTTATTCCAATGCTGTTAGATAGAGCGTTGTTTACTCTACCAAACTATACTGTTTTGATTTTATCTGGTATGGTTTTACTAAAAGAAATTGATAAGTTACAAATAGGTTCTTTAAAACATTATTGCACAAGTATGAAACATTTGATACTTTGTGTTTTCATCATTGAATCACTTCTATTGAGTCGCTAAATATAACTTCTGTCCTCTATAAAAAAATGTACAACTTATATAAAAGAACGTTTATCGGTGTCATTTTTTTTCGTTAGAAAAACAAATTGTTTTTTTATACAAAGAAGAAATGATTTATTACAATTCAATGTTTACATAACCTCAGAATATTTTTAGAAACAAAATTAAAGGGCATCAGGGGGAAACAATATGAGAAGCTCTTGAAACTACACTAGAAATTCTGTTGTCACTGGTTTGAAACCGGTTCAATCAATGATGTGAGAATAATATTAATATACTTGGCATTTCGTTGGTTTAGTATTTCTCCGTTTGGAAACCAAAAAGAGTGAAAATAAAAGAAGTGATCTTATGTAAATTATAGAGTTTTTTACAGCGCATCTTCTGGTATACTTTCTTTTTGATATAGTATATTCAATGATGTGTTATTAATCTACAAAATACAGACTCGTAAAAAATTTTTAAAGCACCTGTTTATAAGTTAGCAACTTCTTGTAGTAGAATCATAGCAAATAAAATCAGAATAGTATAGTTTGGTAGAGTAAACGACGCTCTATCTAATAGCATCTGAATAAAAAACTTTAAGGCTTTGCTCAGTTAGGACAGACTATGAAAAACTATTAAAAATAACTTAATCACGGTGTACCATTAATCAAGAAATTGACCTACTCGATTGAATCGAAGAGAAAATGGTTCGATTTCTTATCGTAACAAGTTACTTATTAAGCATCCCATAAAACAAACAAATATTTTACAGTACTCATAACCTCTTTTAACAATCTATATATAGACGTGTTTTTCTTTCATTGCACTTTTCCTTGACCGATGATTAATCATAAAAGATGATGGTGTTGTACTTTAGAATGTTAAAATTCTTCTTAATTTAGATTCGTAAGTTATTTATTCAGCGTGATCTTTCATAAACATTCAAGAGAAAAATTAATTATTCCAGTTTAAAATAGAATAACGATCGATTGAATTTAAAAAAAAAACGGACTTTAATCCGGATTATGTTTGTATTACAAGGTTGTGTGTGCGGTGAACGCATGTATATATGCAAATATATTTTTGATGCACTATTAGTTAATACCATAGAAGTAACTTTTTTATTATTGTTATTGAATGACAAAGAAAACATTTTTAAGGTTTTCTTTTATTTATCAAAGTATATAACTACATGCATGTTACTCTACATTTCGTTTGATTCATTTCAGATACATTCAGATTAACGAATTGATTACTGCTATTTTGTAGACACCAAACTAAAATGGACAATCAAGCTTTGGAAATTGATGAACCACAAGAGCGTACTACAATTCCTACTCGTACCGCTCGAGTAACTCGACAAGATTCAACGGTTAGTCTTTGGGCTACTGTGGATAAATCTTGTCTTGATCAAGATGTTCATATTATTCCATTGGAAGAAGTTTTCAGTCGATATCATACAGATCCTCGTAATGGTTTAACCAGTGATCATGTCCATGATGCTCGTGCTCAATATGGTGACAATAAACTCACACCACCTAAACAACCATCTTATATCTTATTATTACTTAAAGAATTATTTATGGGTTTCAATATAATTCTTTGGTTTGCTGGCATTTTAGCTTTTTTAGCTTATAAACCATTTGGTGAACCTGCTCCATCAATATCTAATTTAGCATTAGGTGTAGTACTGATACTTGTTATTACTTGTAATTCAATTCTTAATGTTTATCAACAACTTAAATCAATCAAAATTGTTTCCGCATTTTCTAAATTATTACCAACATTAGCAACGGTTCGTCGAGATGGAAGAGAACAACAAATTATTACAAATGAAATTGTTCCAGGCGATATTATTCTCGTTCGAATGGGTGATAAATTACCTGCTGATTGTCGTTTTATTTCATGTGATGGATTAAAAGTAATTCTATTTTATTTTATTCGTAATACATTTTCATATTTTTAGGTAAATACATCAGAATTAACTGGTGAATCAAAACCAGTCTCAATAACAGTTCGATGTAGTAGTGAAACTTTTATGGAAACAACAAATATGGGATTTTATTCAATAATGGTTGAACAAGGAATAGGTGAAGCAGTTGTAATTGCTACTGGTGATAGTACAGTATTAGGTAAAATGTCAAAATTAACTCGAGGAAGTTCAGGTGATGACATTACCGGTTTACATCGTGAAGTAAATCGATTTGTTTTATTTGTTTGTGCTTGCACATTAATTGGTATTGTTATTTTGTGGATAACATGGGCAGCATGGTTAAATCAAGATCATCATACATTTCTATCATACGATGCTAATATTGTGAATTCTATTGGAATGATTGTTGGATTTCTACCTGTAGGTTTACCATCTGCTGTTACACTTGGTAAATATAATAATTATTATATATAACAGAAAGTTATTTTTTACTCTTTGTATTATTTAGTATTGACAATTGTTGCTAAACAAATGTATCGACAACGTGTGTTAGTAAAAAGTTTACAAATTGTTGAAACATTCAATTCTGTTTCCGTAATTGCTACTGATAAAACTGGCACATTAACGCAAAATAAAATGACTATTACTCATTTATTATGGGATACTGATGGTATTTATAAAGTACCATTGCCTAAACAAGAACCTTCTCAAGAAGAGACAATTCTTCAAAGAATTCGTCGACTTTCAACAGATGTTATTGAAACTGCTCGTCGTTTATCTATTAGTACAGCAACAATGGTACGAAAACTTTCATCAGCAAGTATTAATCAACCACAAGACATAACATCTTTAAATGATGATAATGGAAAAAATAATATACCAGACAAAGCAAGTGAAGTTAAAATTGAAGCATTTCGTGATTTATTACTTGGTGCAGCACTTTGTAATAATGCTGAAAAACAAATGGTACAAGATGCACAAATTGGTCAAGATGTATCAAAAATGAAATCTGAATTAAGTGTCGTTGGTGATGCAGCTGATACAGCTCTATATAATCTTTGTGTTGATCGATGTTTTGTTGATATTGATAAAGTACGTAAAGTTAATCCACGTTTAAAAGCATTACCATTTAATTCAACAAATAAATTTATGATCACAGCTAATCAACTTGAAACATTAGATAGTTCATTATCAAATAAAAATCGAATTATTTTATTAACATTAAAAGGTGCACCGGATATTGTTATTCAACGATGTTCAACTTATAAAATGAATGACGATAATATTGCAACATTAGATAATAATATGAAGAAAACATTATTTGATCGTCAAGAAGAATTAGGTAAAAGTGGTTATCGTGTAATTGCAATGTGTCAACAAAGATTTACTCGTCAAGAATATGATGATATGATGGAAAACTATAAAAACAAAAAACGATCCAGTTCATCTCAAGAAGGTGAAGATTTAAATGGATTTCCATCAAATGATTATTGTTTCATTGGTCTTTTTTCATTACTTGATCCACCACGTCCTGAAGTACCTGGTGCTGTTATTAAAGCTCGTCGAGCTCAAATACGTGTTGCAATGGTTACTGGTGATCATCCAACAACAGCAAGAGCTATTGCAAAACAAGTTAATATTCTCACTCCTGAAATTGCTGATATGAATGGTATTGATACATTTAAATTAGAAAAAGATGCAAATGGAAAATTAATACTTAATCTTTATCGAAATGATAAATTAATTGAACAACATGAACCAGGTACAGTTAAACGAACAGATTCACTTTCAAAAAATGCCAAAGATATGGTTAGAAGAGCATCGATTGCATCTGGTGAATTAGTACCAAAAATACCACCATGGTATAAACGTGCATGGTTGTCAATTCGAAGACAATTTTCCGAACCAGAAACTGATGTTGAACCAACACAAAAAATGGCCTATATTCCATATGGTATTGTTGTTGCTGGTGCTGAAATAAATTATATGGATGATTTTATGTGGGATTGGGTATTATCACATCAAGAACTTGTTTTTGCTCGTACATCACCGGAACAGAAACTTCGTATTGTAACAGAATTTCAACGACGAGCAGAAATTGTAGCTGTAACAGGTGATGGTACAAATGATGCACCAGCATTAAAATGTGCTAATCTTGGTGTTGCAATGCAATCAGGTACAGAAGTATCAAAAGAAGCTGGTGATATGATATTATTGGATAATAATTTTGCATCAATTATTCAAGCTATTGAAACAGGTCGTTTATTAAGTGATAATTTAAAAAAAGTTTCGGTTTATCTTTTACCTGGTGGTAAGTTAACATGATTTAACAAAATTTCCTTTTTTAATATTTTTTCTTTTAGGTTCTTGGTCACAAATTTGGCCTGTATTTTTTAATTTATGGTTTGGTATGCCTTTAGCTTTAACTGCTTTCTTAGCTACAATCTTCTGTATGATTAACGGTATGTTTGAATTTGTCTATGAAATTTTTTAAGTATTTTTCCTCGTTCTTTAGATGTTTTTATGTCACTTGCTATGGTTACAGAAAAACCTGAACGTGATATTATGTCTCGTCCACCAGTAATTCGTTCAAAAGATCATTTATTGAATTGGAAATTACTTCTTCATGCTTATATGTTTGTTGGTAATTTAGAATGTTTTACAGGTTTCTTTTGTTTTTGTTATTATTGGATTGATATGGGTGTTCCATTCTATTCATTTATGTTTACATTTGAAAACTTTGGAAATGATATTACTCTATATTCCCAAGATCAATTAACAGCAATGACAGGTTCAGCTCAATGCGTATATTATTGTTCAGTTTGTTTATTTCAATTTTTTAATTATTTTGCAACACGTACTCGCTATACATCGATTATTGAACATAATCCATTATGGGGTAAAGGTCAAAATTTGTATGTGTTTGGCGCAATGATTATATCAGCTGGTATTCAAGTACTTATAACACAAGTAGCATGGTTTAATACTGTTTTCGGTACTGGTTCTTTCCCTGTCAAATATGTAATGCCAGCATTAGGATTTGGTATGTTATGGTTAATAATTGATGAATTAAGAAAATTATGTATACGAAAATTTCCACGTGGTTTTATAGCAAAAATTGCATGGTGATACAACTTACACATATTTCGATGGTATTGATTTAGAGAAGTTCAGCAGTGTGGTATCTGGATTATATAGTTGACTTTATAAACATTTTTCTCATTTATTGATTTTCATTTTACTCTTTTAAAAAATATATTATAATCACAAAAAAAAATACGATCTATTTCTATATGTTATTTATAGAGTGTGGATGTCTTAGATGAATCAAATAGTTTTATTCACCCACACCCTTTTAAGAAATAAAATAGAAAAATTTTGCTAACCTCTTGTTTATTATTTATTCAGATCTTTAATCGTAAGTGAAATCGCAAATAAAATTTCAATTGTAGAATTAACAAAAAAGTCAAGTAAACTATCATATACAAACAAAAATCAAAAAAAAATATCTGAATTAATTATCTGAATCATCATTATATAGAATTTCTTTTGTCTTTCTTGTTTTTGATTGAGCGTTTTGTTTATTATTATTACTATTATTATTATTATTTGTAGATGTAGGTAATGATATAAATGCATCAAGAATTTCTCCATCAACCATATCATAATCATTTGGTGTTGCACGTGGATTAAGTGTATCACCGTCAAATTCAAATCGAATATTTGTTGATTTCATATCATTTTTATATGCATTAAATATTATTTCAAAATGATCTGTATCTAACATACTATATTCACGTTTAGATAAAGATGAACGACGATCTAAATTTAAGAGAAAATTAAAAGAAAAAAAATGTTTTTTTTTAGAATTCAATACTTGAAGATGATGTAGATGTTTGAATAAATATTTTAAGTTTACGTATTAATGGATAAGATTCAAGTAATTGAACATTATTTGATAAAAAATCAAGTTGTTTAAGTGTCAGAGATTGATTTTGATCATCTAATTTTAATGTTTTATCATTATATACAAGATAAATTGATGGTAAACATAGACCTTCAGCGACTTGATCATAAAGTGTTTTTAATGTTGTTGACAATGGTAATAATAATGTTAATTGACGTCCATCAGAATGATCGATTTTTAATGTAATTTTATCTGAATTAATTATATCTGAATCATTTAATAAGTCTAGAAGAAAATAATAAAGAATACGATAAAAGTAAGAAAAAAAAATGTTTTTTTTTTGTTAACCATCAGTGAAAGTACCGTAGAATTGGCTCAGCATGTATTTCTTAGAGAGGGCAAGTTGTATGTTCATCAACTGGTTAACATAATTTTATTTGTAAGACACTCATACCGCCCGTTCGATTATTTTCTCATTTTTATATTAATTTCCATTGAAAGAAAATCAACATCGAAATTAGAACATTAATCATAGTGTCTTTCTTTTCTGCGCTTAGAGAAAGACTCGAACCATGGTCATAACATATTATATCGATGTAGACCATTCAACTATACATGTTCGTTTATTAAAGTATATATCCTAACCTGTTTTAATTTGTTCATCCACTTCTTCATCTTCATCATCTTCTTCATTGGAATCAATTTGTCTTTCACATAAAGGTTTCGTAACACGTAATACAGCATCTAATCGATTATAAGCAGCTGTTTCACGTGTAACTTTTTCATCATCTTCTTCTAATTGACTTTTATTAAATGCATTAATTACTGCTCTAAATAAAAAAGAAATAATTAAATAAAAACAAAAAATTAAATTGATATAAACCTATTCATATATCCACCACGTCGATTTTGATTAATATGTGTTAAATATTCATCTTCATCTTCATATTGTTGATCATCAGCTGCAGTTCGTTTTCCTAATTTTATTTTTCGTTTAACTTCTTTATTTGCTGTTGTGGTAAAACATGATGTAACAATAGCATCAATTTCATTTCGTATTGAATCTTTTGTTTTTATTGGTTCAGATTGAATAACAATTGGTTCAATAGATTTATGATTAATTGTTGATATTGGTTTAGATTTTTTGTTTTTTGTTATTGAAATTAAATCATTTTCACTATCAGAATCTGAACTATTTGAACTTGATAATTGTTTCGAAGTAATTGAACTAAAAGAAAATTTTAATAAAATAAATTCCGGAAAAGAAAATATTTCATTTTTACGTTTGATAAAATTGTTTTAATTGTGTTCGTTTATTATTCAATGATTTTGCTGTTTGATAAGCAAAAAAATCATCTTCATCGTCTTCCATTGAGTTGCAAAAAAAAACTGTTTGAAAGAAAATTGTGAAGAAATTTAAATTCATATATTATTGGTTAAACTAACAATAGTCATTGTTTGAATGCCTGGTTTTTTTTCCTGATTTATCTTATTTATATTTTTATTTTAAAAATAAAGATTTGATTTTGATAAAACTATCAAATTCTATTCGTTTTTTTTCTTCATTTTATTTTAAATCAAACCTTTACTGATCGATGTAACTATGGTAACGAAATGAAGAATGGTAGAGACACATTCAAACAACATAAGAAAAAGAGAAGAATTTAGTTTGGAATAAAAATGTCTTTTGCACCACCACCTGATGCTCCACCATATCCGGCAACACCGGATCAGGAAAATCAAGATGAAGAAACATCTACAGCTGCTTATGCTGAAATATTGGTTTGTTTTATTAATTAAATTTGCTAAGAAAATATTTAGTTTTTTTTTCTCTTTAAGTCATTTCAATGGTGTTTTGGTTTTAATAAAGATTTACCCGTACTTAATTTATCAATAAATAAAACGAAAAAAATCTTTTTTGTTTCGGCTCAAATTGGTGTTATGTATGATTTTGCTAATAACCGACAACAATTATTAATTGGACATGTAAATTATTTGAATAATATTGATTTCATTATGTTTCGTTTTCATTTAGAGAAATAATATAACATGCTGTTGTGTTAGTCATGATAAACGTTGGTTATGTACAGCTGATAGTGGTCGAGATTGTACAATTATCATCTGGGATACAATTACTGGATTACCAAATCAAACTTATTTCGATGTACTTAATGGTACAGGTACAGTTGCATTCAGTACTGATGCAAAATATTTAGCTACATTGAGTCAACAAAGTCCACAAGTAATATTTAATATTCTATTTATATTTATATATGTATAATTATTAAATAGATTATATCGATATGGGATTGGACAGCTGAAAATGATAAACCATTATGTGCATTAGAATTAAAACGTGAATATTCGAATCAACATTATTTACAATTTAATCCACGTCAATCAACACAATTAGTATCAAATTCATCAACACAAGTACTTTTTTTTGAATGGTCAAATGATTATGGTTTAATTTGTTTTGATCCAGATTTATCAGAAAGAGTAAGAACGAAAATAAATGTTTTATAATAATATTTCTTTTTTTTACTTAGACATTTGATATATCTCGTGAAAAATTAGGTTATATAACACAATCAGTTTTTCTTGTTCATCCAACACAAGTTGTAACGGGTACAACAACAGGAAAACTTGTTCTTTGGGATTGTAAAGCATATCGAGATAAATTAGAAATGATTAAAAAACAAAAACAATTAAATAAAACTAAACAAATTGAATATTCGAATCAATCAACAAAGATAATGGATAAAAAAGAATTAACAAATGATACAATGAAATCACCAGCTGATAGAGAATTAACACGTGATACATTAAAATCATCAGGATCAACACGTAGTGGTACTTTATCATCAAGAAAATCTTCAGGAAAAACACTTCAAGAAGATGATGATTATAATAATCAAAAACAAGTATCATTCAATGAACAACAACAAATCGAAAATAGTGAGTTGTTTTAAAATTCTTGAGCTGACACATATATCTTTATTTTAGTTAATGAGAATGATGAATTATCAGGTGATTCTCCTATGAATAAACAACCATTAAAATTATGTGAACCACAAAAAAAACCGATTACTGTATTAATGACAACTGGAGAGTAAGAAATATTATTTCTATAAAATAAAAATAAATATATATATTCTTCTTTCTATTAGTCTGGTAGTAACAGGTGATAGTGAAGGTACAATTCGTTTTTTTGATCAAGAACTTAAATTACGTATGTGGTTTGAACATTTTCGAATTGGTCCTGTTCAATCAATCTCATTTACATATACAACATCAGATTATACCCCACCACCATTATCATCAAGTTTAAATTTTAAACAAAATGAATCAACATTACAACAACCACCATTTTCAATACTTGATTTTACATTATCATCATCACAAGCTGTTATTGCACATGTAACACATTCAGGTCAACAAGTATCAATTGTAAAACGTGATTCACCAACAGCTATTTATGCATTAGATACACATCCATTTGAACATAAATTATGTTTTGCTAATGCATCTGGTCGTTTACAATTATGGGATTATGAACAAAAACAAGTTATAACAACTGTTCATCGTATACAAGATAATGCTATAACACAATTACGTTATAATCATAGTGCAAATTATATTGCTGTTGGTTATGCAGATGGCAAATTAACAATATGTGATGCGCTATCATTAGAAAGTGTTCTTCAAGCACCATTTCATTATGCTAAAGCAGCTATTCATCTTATTGAATTTTCAAATACATCAGATTATTTAGCAACAGCGGTAAGAATTAAAACTTACTAATTGGACACTAAATTTTTTATTTTTTTTTTATAGGAAGAAGATTTTACAATATCTGTTTATCGACAAAATTTAAATAGTGAAGAAATCTATACATTTCTTGGTCGTTATCGGGCACATTATAAACCTATCCGAGCATTATTTTTTGGTTTTACAATTGATGATAATCAACCAATATTAACTGCAGTAGGTGCTGATCGTATTTTAGCTGAATATGATTTAAATGAAAGTGAAATTGATCATCTTGTTTTAAAACCATCAACACGTATTGAACAAATAGCTGAACCAATGTCTGCATGTTATTATCCAGCATCATTAACACAAGAATCATTTCTTGTTACAGTTAATAATGAATATAAATATAAATTATATAATGCTGATACAAAAATGTGTCGTAAAACAATCTTAGGTCCAACATTTGGTTCACCAATACGTAAAATTGGAATACTTCCTAAATTAGATGAAAATTCCAATGAAGAATATGTTTATTTTATGACAACTGATAAAATTGGTCTTCAACGTTTACCATTAACTGGAAATCCATTTGATCAAATGGCTATAATAGCACATCCAAATCGTGTTAGTGATATACGTGCAAGTTATGATGGAAAATATTTATTTACAAGTGGCGGACTTGATAATTGTGTTCATATGTTAAGTGTTAATCCACAAGTTCTACAAGCACAAGCACAATTAGGTGGAAAAGATTTAATACCATTTTATAAATTATTAGAAGGTGGACGTGAAGGAGAAATCTTTCGAGAAATGCAAGAATTATTTTATTATAGTCAATTAAGATAGTAAGTTCAATTATCCAAAAAATAACAAGTAACGTTCGTCCGAGGACTCGCTTAGCTCTTTCTCGTAGAAATGCATCCTCTTCATATATACAGGAAACACAATTGAAAACCCTGCTCTCCTTTGTTGTCCATTACTCTAAGCACCTTGAGAGTGTGGGTGTGAATATTTTTTCATTCCGCACCTACACCCACCCCTCAAGATGGTCTTTTTCGGAAAATAGGTCTTTGATGATTTTTTGACATTATGGACACAAGCGAGCAAGCAGATAATGTATAGATTAATTTCTAAAGCAGTTTGAATTTGTTAGAATATTAGTAGAGTCTGGCGAATTGCTATGCAATGGTTTAAACCAACGTCAATTCTATTTTTATTAGAAATACGTGATTTGTATAATAGTTTGAATTTATTTGCTCATCTTATATTTTAGTCAAGATATTCATCGATTTGATCGTCGTGAAATATCAGCAAAAATTCCATTAAGTGAAATTCCGTTTGTTATGCGAGCATTAGGTTATTATCCAACTGAACAAGAAGTAAATAAGAAATGAAAAATATTTTTTTATCTAATAATATTTTATTTTTTTAGATTGAAGAAATGATTAATGAAGTTAAATTTAGTACATACATTGATACAAAAACATATGTTGAAGATATTGATCTAAATGATTTTATTAAATGTAAATAAAAAAGCAATTGAAAATCTTTTTTATTTTTTCATGTGTTTATTTAGTATATATAAATCATCGACCAGCATTTGGTCTTAATCCAGCTGATTTAACTCATGCATTCAATGTTCTTTCTGATCAATTAAATTCAAATAATGGTCAACCAGAAATCTATCGTGAAAATCTTTTATGTCTTTTACAACAATATGGTGAACATATTAATGATTATGAAATGGCTGAATGTTTAGCTAATTTACTTAATTTAAATCATGAAACAACAGAAATGTTTGATACAATGAATGCGGATGATGCTTGTATGTTGATTTCCAATGAGTGTTTCTTTATTAAATATTTCTCTTTCTAGGTGCATTTATTGAAAATCAATTACCAGAACAAGTTACAATACAAAAATTTATGGAAGATTTATTAAAAATGCCAACACAATATGTTGATCAAGTAATGTATGCTGTTAAAGCTCAACAACGACGACGTTCATCATTATTTGATTCAAAAGATAAGAAAAGAAAAAGTTCAATTGAACGACCACAACGTTATCGTTCATCTATGACACCAACAACACAACGTACAGCATCACCTACAAATGATATTTAATTCAAACTAAAAAAAAAACAATTTTTCTTTAATAAAATATTTTTAATAAAATATTCAAAACAATTAGTTATTCTGTTATGTGTAAATTGAAATAATGATTATATTAACCCTGTCAGGATCAGTCACGCATATACGTGTCGGTTGTCTTGATATAATAGAGACCCCTGAATGTGAACTTCAAGAACATCTTACACAAAGACTCGTGATACATCCCGAAAGGTTTTCATGACCTTGGCTAATAATTAATTTTTTACAAGATTTTCCCTATGGCTATTCTGATTTCAAAATAATCCGATCCCTAAAGGATTAATAGTCTTTTCTATTCATCGTTAAATCTATTCGATAAAAAAGTTCATATTTTAAATAATTTGTTTGTTATCTAATGTAACTAAATCAAGTCAATATTCTATTCAATATTAATTTTCGTTTTTAGGTTCGAAAAAGCTCTCCTGGAGTTAATTACCCTTCCAGAAGTTTAAATTTGTGTTTCTTTTAGAAGAAAGCATTTGGATAAAAATCATTTTTTGATATATAATGCATTATATTTTTTATTTACAGACGCAAATATGTCAAAATAAATAGATATATCGATAAATACTCATACACTCTGAATTATATTCAAACTATCTGAAACATAATTATGTAAAAATTATATTGGTGTATCTTTTCTGCATATATCATTCAAAGAGTAATATATACTTGAACAACTATTTCCGCTATAGACAACGATAAAATCATGTTAAATATACAAATGACATTGTGGTTATGATATAAGAGAGTTTCATGCATGATATAACCAATTATAGATGTTTTGTCAAACAATCATAACCACACTAGTCGACTCTATTCGATGTAAGGTCACGTGACTAGCAAAATATATCGAGATAAAATTAAAAAACTCAATTTTTGTAAATAAGAAATATCCATCATGCATGATAATATTAACTTCTTCATAACGTCAGAAAATAAGCTTGTCACAAATAGAGAACTTGTCATTGTTTTTAGAAGTGTAAATATGAAATATAGTGTAAAGTTATTTATTATTAATCATTCGATCAATACTATTCATTTGTTTGAATATTTATGAAAATATTAATATTATTAGAACAAAATCGATAACCAAAATAGTTATTAAATTCATAAAAATAGAATTCATATGATAGACAATTCAATCTTTCATAAATACAAATAACGTTCGTCGAAACTCGATTCACTTAACCCTAGACTATCGCAACCTGCATGCGGATATGAATGAGAGTTGATCAATATTAGTTTTGACTTTATATAAAATCAAGCATTTTCTAAAAACTTGATATTTGACGAATGAACAATAAAGTTAAAATGTAGATATCTCTATCATTATATATCGAAATTGATTTTGAACTCTTTTGTCTATGTACACTATCGCAGAACTATTAAACCGATAAGTTTTTTAAAAATGCTGTGCAATAATGCAACAACTAAACTTTTAAAATTATTAAATTACAATGAGTATATTTTTAAACTGCTGATCGAGGGTCTTATTACTTTTTAGTTGTCGTGCGGATCGTTCCGACACATTACCGTTTTTTCCAAACATGCATTAAAAATATTTGTCGATGATGATGAACAACATGCTATATAAAAATAGGCCAAAATTTTGTTCCAAGCATTTTAATACTCTGTGTATACGGTCGTTCTATTTTTTTGTTATTAATCTCATTTTCATCGTCCTCATTATTTTAATTTATTTAATAAAATAATGATCTATATATAATAAAAATATGCCACAGTTACGAGGTCATTTGTACCAAAAAATGGTCAAATGTGCTATGTTTCCGACAAAAATAATAAACGTGAAATTAGCGGTAGACAACGAAGAATACATTTCAAGAAATAGCTTCTATTATTTTGAGATATAAGTGTCCTTGAATATGTTTATGCTCTTAAATATAAAATTTTCCTCGTCTAGGTCGTGAATAAAAAGGAAATATACTTTGACATTTTTTTCATTAATAGAAAAGTTCAATGTTGTGATTTTATTTGTTCTTGTACGTATTTAATTTGGTTGCACGATGTTTTTCTTAGGATTCATTTCTTTTCTTTCTTTTTGTTATATATTTTTACTTATATAAAATTAAATAACTAAAAGCTATAATTATCTTTGCATGCCTTTTCTATTTTTTCTATTTAATTAATATATAATATAAGTCTTAAAATCGATTGTAACATCTATCGTTTATTAATTATCTCCCAAAATGAATGAACATATTAATTGACTTTTGTATTTGTATGTTTTTTTACCCGAAGCAATATTTTTTTTACTCAAAAGACAAGAACAAATTGAAATTATTTTGCTTACATTTCTTTTTTTTTCTTTCTGTTTTTTTCTATACGACGTGCCATCAATGCTATTACTTTCTTCTACGTAGAAGCAAAAAAAAGCCGAAGAGAATCAAATATATATATGTCTTCATTTACATTTTCTTTTCATCATAATATATACTGGCAATTGTATACGTCGAATATGGCACATATATATATTTATTGAAATAATGCCTCAATTGTGTGTTACAGATGGATGTAAATATACATCACGTGTTTTATGTCATTGTTGTAATAAAAATCTTTGTCTCGAACATTTAAAACAACATAATGAATTAATTAATGCGCAGTTAAATCCATTAGCTGACGATATTAATACTCTCAGTGCACAATTAATAACATTAAATATCGATGATATAACATTAAATTATCGTGAAAAACTTGATCAATGGCGTACGAATTCATTTATGAAAATTAATGAATTATATGAAAAAAAATGTGAAGAAATTGAAAAACGTTGTTTAAAAAAAATTGATTTAATACAAAATGAAATTGAACAAATACGTTCGAAAATATCAAAATTAATTAATGAACAAGAAATAAATATTGAAGATCTTGAAATATTAAAATTAAATATTTATGATATCAAAAGAAAATTTCTACAATTTAAAGAAAAATCTATGGAAATTAATATTCATCCATTTACTATTGATGATAAATTAATTTCAATTGAAGAAACAAAATTATATGAACTAGATTTATCTAATTTATCAATACCATATAGAAATATACATTGTACTGATCAAAGTTGGCCAGCAATGGCAACGAATGATCAATATTTATTAATTGATCAATATCCAAATATAATTTTATTAAATCAAGATTTACAAATAATTAAACAGTTACCTTGGATATATGCTTCTATACGTAATATGTGTTGGTCATCAACATTAGATTGTTTTATTATAATTAATAATGAAAAAGACGTTTTTCTTGTTAAAAATCATTCATTATTAATTGAACGTATTGAAAAAATTGAACAACAATATTGGTGGTCATGTACATGTTCGGATACATCATTATTTTTAACAAATACAACAATGGGTACAAATATATATGAATTTAATCTTTTATCTAAATGTCAATTAATTAAACGTTGGAAACCACCTTATTCATGTAAACAATATGAATATATTGATGATATCGAATATAATAATAAAACATTAGCTTTAGTTATTAAAGTTTCATCAAATAATACTGTTTATCTCGAACTTCGTTCATCAATAACACTCGATCGTTTATGGATAATTCAAATTGATGTTAAAAAAAGTTGGTTTCAACAAACAATTCGTTGTTGTTCACTTAAATATGATGAATGGCTTGTTGTTGAAGGAAATACTTCACATCTTTTTCATATATTTAAAAATGGAAAAATAAAACTTATGGGAGAATATAAACCATCACCCATAAATTCGATTCTTTTTGCTTCAAATATATTAGTTATGCGAACTAAAGACAATCTACTTTTTCATAGATTATAATCGTGATAAAACAACAAACCTTTTTTCTCGCATTTTTGTAAATAAAATATTTTTCAGTCTTGTTAACAATTAAAATTACAGTGTATAATTATTTAACAATATGAAATAAAGCTTATAGAAAGTTCGATTTCTCCGCACGACTCATTATTGGCCTTGAATATTTTCTGTCTATTTATAAGAAACGATGAATTGTAAATTATTTATAATGCTAGTATAAATAAAATATGATACCGAATGATATTACTTAATGAAGAGAGAAGATTTACAATATTCAAGAGGAAATAAAATGTCAGATTTGTTGTCGATTGATGTTATTGATTGTCTGTCACTAGAAATAAAAGTATAAAATTGAAAAATAAAAGAGAATGAAGTACTTTCTAAACATACATAATCGAACGGCAATTAAACCGATAGTTTTATGAGCAATTGTCACTAAATATTGTTTTTCGTCGATTGCTGTATAAGCTAGTTGAGTTAATGGTTCAAGTGTAGTACTTTCTGGTACATAACCAAGATCAAGACGTGCTAGAAGATTGCGATGATTAAAATCAATTAATAGTAAAATTGCTTTATGAGTTGCTGTAATTACAACTAAGATTACACGATTATTTTGTATAATAGTCATTCTAGAAAGTTGTCCAATGATTTCTTCTTGACAAATATCTTTTAAAGAAATATATGAAATATTTCGTGTTGATACATTTAACATAATCATATTATATGTATGTGTATCGATAAGAAGAAGTGTTGAATCTGTTTCGGAATAAACCATATCATTAATACAAAGATTTGGAAGAATAACAATATGTTCAGTACGTGCTGAATCACCATCATCTGCAATAATTAGAATTCCTGTAATATTGACAACAAATAACCATTTGCGATCTATTGATAGAAGTGGTCCTTCCATTCTACTACATGAATCTGTTTGTATTCCATATTCGTATATCCAAGCAATACGTAATCGATCAACAATACTACCAGTGGTTTCTGCAGCTATAATCACTTGAGATAAAGTTGAATTACGTTGTGCAATTAAGTACCACCTATCGATATTTGAATTAAGGCTCATTGATCGTGATAAACGCAGAAGACCAGGAGGAAATGCTTGAACACCTAATGGAATGCCAGAATCTTCTATACCTACAAACTAAAATAAAATAGTTTACAATAAGATCTTTTTTATATATTAAATAAACTCTCATAGAAAAATCTTTTAAAATCGTAGGATATTCATATTTCTAAACTAATAGTATAAATATCAAGTTAAAAAAGCTCATTTCTCTTTGCAGATGTTTTAATACAACATATTAAAAGATTCAAAACTTACTGAAACTGAATCAGCAACAATAATCTGACCATCATCTGTTACAAATGGTCCTGCTAATGGAGGAATTAACCGTGGTATATAATTAAAGATGCCTACAATAGCACCTTGAGGATTAATTAATGTACATCGTGTACTATTGGCAATAATTAAGAATCCCTGATAATTTATTACAGGTAATGATACTGCAATTGTCTTTTCTTCAATATCAAGAGGAATTGACCAGAGTATTTGTCCATTTGTAGCATTTATTGAGACATATCCCGTATCAACAGCACATATTAATGAAGTTTGTTCATTTGATATACAACCACGTGATGAAATTGTAAGTAAGTCAGTTCGTTGCCATTCCACATGTTCATTAAATTTATCAACACTTAAATCAACAAAACCACTAAGTGTAGTTTCACAACCATCCATTGGACATCCAGTAAAGTAACCACTGCTAGTGGAAATCATTAGAAAAAGAATCAAGAGATTCATATTGTACCTATATAGTTAATTATCAATAAAATGAATAGTTAAGACAAGAATGACCATGTAATAACGATATATACAGATAAAGAACACAGAATAGAAAAAGAGCAAAACAGAGAAACGAAAAATTATATAGATAATAACAAAGTAAACATATGACTATCGTTCTTACAATACGGCATACTTGTTTCAACAAGGACGATTAATTGTAGTAGTTTACATTGGTCGAATATCTTATCTATACATCTCAACTTAATGATCTCTCTCTCTATATATATACTTGTATAGTGAGATATACAAGAAAAAAAGATAATATATTTTCTTTCTTTTTAATATTTCTCAGATCATTAATATATTATTGATCATAAAAATATTGAAGTGTTGATTGAAGAAGAGCTTATAATGTATAACAACCTACTTTCATACTACGTGATGATTGTGTACATTTTAATGATAATGCATAACTAAGTGACGTTAAATAAAGAATATCATTGTCATATTGTGTAATTAGATGATAAAATGAATTTTAAAATAGAAATAAATTATAGACACATTGAATTGATGGTTCGAGTTTTGTTGTGGGCACAGGTTTATATATATATGTAACTCTGGATGTGATAAACAAAAAATATTCATCCACACTCACACTCAAGGTGATGTCGTATAGTTAAGTTTGCTTTCAAAAGAAAAGAAAATACACAAGACTATTACTTTTTACACTTTAATTACAAACAAATTGATCTCACGAAAAAAATCGATACAATAAAAAAAAGATCTTGGAGATGAACAATTAAAACATTTGTTCTACATTAAATTTAATAACAAGTAGTGGACACAATGTTCTAAGCTAATTTGAATACTTCAATCTCAGATGTAGTAAAGTACTTTGCTCCTGTGAACGTATTGTTACCTTTACCCGTTGTATCATTATATGAATTAGGAAAACTAGAATGGTTAGAGTTGCTGCTGTTACTTCTGTGAGATATATAAATGTCGTGGCTACTGCCGAATGTAGGTCCATAGTGGTAATGACTATAAATGGCAGTTGCTGCATGATCAGACTTGATAGTATATTTAGTAGGTGGAATATCGTGAGGATTTGTTAATGTGAATAAAAATGCTTCGCTATCATTCTGGCGATTTTGAGATGAAGTCCATGAAATATTTGTATAACCTCCAAATATATAGTTATTGTTTGATTGAATAATAGTTATTGTTGGTCCTTTATTGTCACAACGTGAGTGAAATGCATTAGCACGAAATCCATCACGAGTTGCTTTGTATATTAGTTCCCATTTTTGATTGCTTTTACCAAAAAATTCGTAAAGTTTTGCTTTATGCTCTAGTTGAAGTAATGTTCCATTCGGAAAAGTTTTCTCAATAATCAAAAGCTCTTCCTCTTCCTTTTGTTGACGTTTTCGGTCAGGTTCAGTCAATATATAAATCAGATTTTGTAAATAAAAGTATTCTGCTTCGATAAGAAGAAGTTGACGAAGTGATTCATTAGTCATAACATCATTGTGTATTTTATCTGTTCGTAAATATGCTAGAATATGTTTAAATAAATCTCCATCACGATCAATAAAGATACTATTATCATTTGGATTTCGTTCAAGTTCCCATCGTCCTGAGAAGAGAACAGTGAAGAAACTATCTTTCTCACGTGTTAATGTATCAATACTTGTAGTATATTTTTCACCACCAACATTGAGTATGACCACACCTTTATGTGATGTTGTTGCTAATTTGCGTTTAATATCTTTCCATTTTTTTTCTTCAGTGGATACATTAGCTAGTTTATTCTCTAAATCACCATTCGTTTGTGTTGCTTGGTCACACAACTTCTCAGTAGTTCGAATATAATCATTGTATTCATTAGGTTTTGAAATAATGTCTTCATGAACTTTTTCAACATGAGTTTTTAATTTTTTTCTATTGACTTGAATTGTATCTAAGTTTGATTCCATTTGAAAAGTTTTTCTCCTATGAAGATATCGTGTTTGCTGAATGTATTTGTTGTTATCTTATTGTATGCTATTGATAGTCAACTGTAACGTTGCTTGCAATGTTAACTGTTTTGTTTTCGTTTCTGAAAGTAAATAACACAATAATCAAAACCGTATTATAACAGAAATGCTGCTGTTTATCTTTTATTCTATCATATATTTAGAGAAAGTGAATCAGAAGTGGCTGACCGACTGACTGACTTATAATACGTTGACATGGCTATTTATAGATACATGCAAAGAGAACAAAGGGAGAGGAAATGACGAGAAAGAAAGAGGTAAATGATGGACGGATAAGAATCCGTCACACACCTCACCACCATAATGAGAGTGCTCATGTACGAAAAATAGAATGATCAAGGTGCAAAATAATGCAGCAACTCGAGGAAAAGCTACATGAAACGTACAGATGTTGAAAGGAAATGTGCGCTGGGATAAAGCAGTCGGCCCTTAGTACGTTCACCGATGTTCTGTAACATTACCATGCAAGAAGTACCTCCCATTTCAGTACTATAGTTGTTTGATAATAACATATCACTCAACTCTTTACCTGAATCTAAAGTTTTACTGTCTACCATTTTTTAATGTATCCTTAGGATTGTCGACCGTTTGTTTCACTTGACATGGTAAAAAGGAAGAACAAAGTACAGAATGGAGGCGAAGCACGTACAGATATTATAAGGTAAATGCGTCGGAACCACTCTTCTTACGGTGTCGATTTTCAATCACACTGTTGTACCCCTCAACAGTACCACTGTATCCTGATTATCTTGCCCTATCCCGTCTCTCGAACTTAGCCATGACCTCTGCGTTAGTCATAAAAAATAATTGTCACATTGACGAAGATTGAAAGGGTTGATTAGAACAAGTTTGTAAACAATCCAACAATCGATTCATTCGCTTTATGGTAACAAATGAGCAGAAGGGAAGAAAAAATAATTATGATGACCTGCCCATTTCTAATGCAAAATTCAAATCGTAAACATAAGGGCAAATAGATGGAAAAGATAGGAAAACGGTCAAAAGGTCAAATAGAGGGAAGAGATGAACGAAGGGTCACAAGGTCCAATGAAGGAAAGAGATAGATGAAGCTTATACAATTAAGTTATAGAAGAGGTCAAAAAGACAGTACTAGTACTAGAAAAATCCAAAGTATACCCATTACAATAGACCATACTTCATGCGCTAACTTCCGAGACTCACACGCTACGCGAGAGTTTACCCTAGAAAAACAACGACAGTAACAAAAAAATGTAATCAACCTATATGTGCAAGGACAACGAAGTTTGCGATTGCACACTATTTCTTAAGATACATGCTATAGTACCAAATAATTTTGAAGCTTTTAAATGAAATTCTTTCATAGTTGCTTGAATTATATCATCTAATCCATTGAAAGGTACAAGTTGAGTTTCAATATAAGCTGTTACATTTAATTGTGATAAAGATACATCAATAGTTCGTTGAGAAAGTTGACCAACAGCTGATAAATGAAACATTGAACTATTTCAGACGATTGTTTTGACAAATCTTGATAAATAGAAAGGCTAGGTTTGCCTATCTGAACAGTAGTTAATGATGATGATAAAAACGTGATAAGATAAATAATAAGTAATATAACATGAAGTTGAATAGTTATTTCATATTCAGTAGCACAAGTAAAATTTTTCTAAAATCATACATCAATATGTATCGTGTATTCTCATTGTATTAAATATTTATAGGTGTCTTATTTCATTATATTTATTTCAAAAAAAATATACATATAAATATTATTATAGAACTGGATGAATTTGTCGAATTCGAGATTTGTATAGTTGAAAGATGAATAGAGCAAACCATCGAGATATAATTACTAAACCACCATACAGTCCAATTAACATTGTGATAGTATCGATTGCGTTATGATGTCCAGTATAAGAATAACTACATGATGATGGTGCACATTGATTAAAATAATTTTCATAGGACATAACAATGGAATAATTCTCTATCATTAATTCTTGTACGATAAATACAATAGTTGAAGTAATATTAAATCGACTGAATACATTTGATGAATTCAATGCTTCAAAATTCTTATTCATATCAATACATTGTTGATCGTAAAAGCATTGAAGTGTTGATTGAAGAAGAGCTTCAAATGGATAACAACCCACTTTCATACCACGTGATGATTGTGTACATTTCGATGATAATGCACAATCACATCCTTCATAATTAAGTGACGTTGTATAAAGAAAAGAAGAATATTCATCGATATCAATATTATCATATTTCCAATTTGTTGAATAACCGCTCATAAGTTTATTAGTTTCCGATATTTCACGAAGAATACTCAATGTAGTACCAAATGATTTTGAAGTTTTTAAATGAAATTCTTTCATAGTCGTTTGAATTTTATTATCTAATACATTTAAAGGTACAAGTTGAGTTTCAATATAAGCTGTTACGTTTAATTGTGATAAAGATTCATCAATAGTTTGTTGTGACAGTTGACAAAATGATATTAATAATTGAAATTGACCAACAGCTGATAAACGAAAATCAGTATAATTTAATTGAGAATATTGTTTATTTGTTTCATGAATATATCGAATCCATTCATTAGACATAAAATCACTCGAACAAATTTCATGAAAATATGGTTGAACATTAAGAAATGTTTCATAATTAAATGAAATTTGTGAACATGAACATTGAACTATTTCAGATGTTTGCTTTGATAAATCTTGATAAATAGAAAGATTAGGCTCGGTTATCTGAACAGTTATTAATGATGATGGTAAAAATGTGATAAAATAAAAAATAAGCATTAAAATAATAAGTAATATAAAATGAAGTCGAGTAGTTATTTCATATTCATTAGTACAAGTAAAAATTTTTCGAACAAATTGTCTAACATCTTTAATCTTTTGAAAAAATTTTATTCCAATTAAAAATAAAATTTTTAAACCTGTTGATAAACCACCTAATACACTAATCACAAGCATAATAATAGAAAACACGTTTTGTCGACTAATTTTTTCGATTGTACATAATTGTGGATGACATTTATTATAATATGAAGAAAAAGAAATATTAGATAATAATGAATTAATCATAACTCGATGAACGATCGATGCGATAGTTTCATTTGATTGATTATCAGTAATTATTAATGTAGAAATATTAGCAAATAATTCATATCCATCTATATCTCCATTTTTCATAAATAATATATTATCTATACAAGATCGATTATAAAAACATTCTAATGTTGCTTGTAATATAGCTTCAAATGCATAACAACCAATAAAAAAATTTGAATTTGTATTATTTTTTGAATCAGTAGAAAATACATCATCTGATGTTCCAATAAATAATGGTATACTACAAGTTTGATCTAGATCACAAGAACAATTTGAATAATCAATCGAAACGAAATTAACTTGACCGAATGTAGTATTAATTTCTAATTTAAAATTATAATAATCATTCATAAATTTATTTCCTTGATTTGTTGCTCGAACAAGATCAATAACACGTTGACATCGATTAAGTGCATCGATAAACCATTGTTGAATAAGTGTATTAATTTGTATACGAAATATTTCTTCGGAAATAACTTGAGAACTAACAAATTGTGTTTGAAAAAAAGCATTAAGACCATCATTTGTCATTTGTTTTGAATATTCACATAATGTACGAAGTATATTCAGTTGTGTACCTAAATTTGTTCGAATATAATCAGCAGTAAAATAAGATTTAATTTCATTTTCTAAAAGATAATCAATCCAAGCAGAAGATATAAATTCACTTGAACATATTTGATGGTAAACAGGTTCAATAGAAATAAATGATTTATAAGATATTGATAATGAAGTACAATGACATATAAGATTATTTCCATAGATTTCATGAAGTTTAGTATAATCCGATTCAATAGGATTTAAAATTGTTTCGTAATTAGTTTGTTTAATTATTGATGAATACAATGTTAATATAATTAATGAAATTATAAGAATAAATATGTATAATCGAGTTCCTATTCGTTGATAATAAACATGATCATCATTAACTAATCGACTTGGAAAAAGATTTAATTCAGTTAATTGACGTTTTAATAAAATTTTCATTTGATTGAAATGAACAGAAACTAAAGTATGAAGAAAAGGAATATGTCAAGTAATCCAGAAAATAAAAATTCAGAAAGACAATAAATCACTTCGAAAGATTCTGTAGCGTGGATGAAAGGAGACAGTTAACAATGTCCTTTTGAAAATGTCCTTTCAAAAATGCTCTTGGCTTTTGGTCTTCAGACAAAAGTTCCTCAGATTTTTTGTTCTTTAACAAATGTCCTGAATATAAAACGTCCTTTTGAAAATGTCCTCTGAAAAACTTTTTCCATCTACAAAAAATATCCTTTGAACTAAACTATTATGTTTGTGTACGTATGATGTTTTGAACATGGGTGGTGGGTGTGGATTGGTGAGCGTGAGGGTGAAGGTGTGAATGAGGGTGCTGGTGTAAGGATGAACGTGGTATGAGTGCGGAATGAAAACAATATCGCCACCGACGCCTACATCTACCCATATCCTCAAGATCAATATTTTAAACTAACATTGTCGACTTCTTTTTAGTGAAGGGACATTTCTGACAGGACATTTGCAAAAGGACATTCTTGTCTGTATTCGACATCGATAGTGCTGAGCTTCTCGATGGACTATCACTACTGGTGGCTTCAAAGAAATAAGCTTGTCAAATTCTCTCTAATATGTCCACATCTTTTATTTATTGTGTCTTCTATGATTAATAAACTATATAATTATAATTCAATCTTACATGAAATTTTTGGTTTAGATTTGATTTCTTTAATTTTTGGTTTTCTTATAAATTGAATTATAATTGGAATACTAATTCCAAGAATTAATGTTATACCTCCAACTAAACTAATAATTCCAATTAAAATATATATAGAATCATGTCGTTGAATTTGTGAATAAGTACATGAAATTGGTGCACATTGATTAAAATATTTTTCATATGAAATATTTGATATCCATTCTTCTACCATAATATCATTAATAATTGATTGTATTGTAAATTTCGATGGAAAAAGTGTTTGTTTAGTTTCATTCATTGCTTGAAATGTTTCATTTGTAGATAAATAAGAAAGAAGTTTATCGATACATGTTTGATTATAAAAACATTCTAATGTAGATTGAAGAAGTGAATTTATTGGCATACAACCACTAAGAAATCCAGGTATATGAAATAATATTGTTGTTTCATTATTCGATATATTATAAATTCCAGATAATACTCCAATATTATAATCTGTTACACATTTATTTTCAGTTATATTAGAATTTCCGTAAAATAAATAATTAGCAAATATATTTGATTCTCCATTATTTATATATTCAACATCTAATGTTGTTCTTAATCCTGATATAAGTTGATTACCAAATATTAATTTATTTATTAGATCTAATTGTGATTTAAAAGTAACAGGTACTGTTGTATTAAATTGTTGAATTGAAACTTGAATTGTTGCTTTTAATAAATCTTCAAATAACATTTGTGAATTAATCAATGAAGTATCATAAAAAGATGAAAGACCATCTTCAACATTATTCTGTGAAAGTTGACAAAGACTTGCAAGAACTTGAAACTGAGCACTACCAATACCACGAAAATCTCCTTGATAAAAATGTGTTGAATTTCTACCGGAATAAATTGCTTTAATCCATCGTTCAGATATAAAATCACTTGAACATATTTGATGAAAACGTGCTTCAAGTGTTATAAATGTTCCATAAATTATAGATAAACGAGAACATGGACATTGTAAATCAAGTGGAAGAGTTTTAACTTGTTCAACAGTTGGATAACGTAATGTTACTTTTGTTGTTTGTGTTATTAATGATAAACTAAATGTGAGACTAATAAATGTTAATATTAATACAATAAGATAAACTCGTGTTGCAATTAAATTATTTTCAATTTCATGTTGATCTTCATTATCAGTATTATTTGATTGAAAAATATTTAAAGTACGTAAATAAGATATTATACAACAGACCATTTTTATTAATTTACTCAAACTATAATTCAATAGCTAAAAACAAAAATTTCCAAGTACTTTCATATAAAAGTAAAAGAAAATTAATTATACAACAATGAATTTTTTTTCATTGTAAATGTAAACTTAGTGAAGCACAAAATATACTTTCAAAAGAAAGAAAAAAAAATCATTTTTCTAATAAAATAAATATCTTTATTTAATTACATTCTTTTAGAAAAATAAAAAAGATGTAACGAATCAGTTCTTTTTACTATCTAATATATTTCATATAAATCTTCAAATAAAAATTGATTAATGTACATCTCTATTCTTACTTAAAAAGGTATGAATTAAATAATTTTTGTATTTGGGTGTAGGTGGGTATGGATGTGGGCGGGTACGGGTGTGGCGAGGTGGGTGTGGGTGTGAATAAAGAAGAGACCACTAATCACACACACACACACCCTACCAGTGGCGAATTTAGGGAGGTGGCGATCACCCCCATCGCCCCACCCCCTTCTGAAGTTTCTTTTGATTTTTTACAGCAAAAATGAACAAAAAAATAGGTTCATACTACTTCGATTGGACTCAAAAAATAGCTTCTAGCCAAAATCCTCCCCCCCACTCGTCAGGTATCGTCTCCCCTTTCAAAATCCTAGATCCGCCACTGCTACCCACCCATCTACTTTCTAATAATTATCTAGTATTATAGTACGAGTTTTCATCAACTTTTATTTGTTATATAAAAAACTATCAGAAAATCTTAATTGAATACTCTATTTTTGCATTAGTAATTTTCGAAAGTAGTATTCATGTCATTTTTTTTAATATAGATATTATAAATTATAATTTTGAAATTGTTTTTCTTTTATTATTTAAATATCTAAAGAGACTTTGCATCGGATAGTACTTTAATAAATAGAAAAAAAAATGAAGGAAATCAGAAAATATGGTTCCGTGGAATTAAAAAAGTGATGGGTTTCGTCTAAAAAACAAGGTAAAAATGACATTTCTGATATATTTCATTTTCACTAATTAAAATATAAACTTCCATCAAAATCATCAACTGAAATTGATTAAATATCAAAACTACGGAATAAGTTCAATACGAGTTTTTATTTTAATCAACAAAAATAATGTCCGTTTCTTCATTTCCTCGATTAATTACTTTTTAGATTTTTATTGACTTTATCTTAAATGATAAATCATATATTCTCGATTAAATTTATTGTAAAATAGTTAATAAAAAAAAATTCGAATGTATATTAATAAAGTAAATACAGATAAAATAATAATTTCTACTCCAATCATAATATTCCATTTTCCGATTGATTGCGTTGAAACTGAAGTTGAACACATATCATTATTATCATCAATTGTACATATATCTTCAATGATCATAAATTTTTCATCAAGTATTTCAATTTTTTTTCTTTGAATATCATAAATTTTCGAAGATTTTTCTTCAAATATAATTAATTCTTGTTTTAATAAATCAATTTTCTTTTCCATACAATCAAATTCATTATGTTTATCTTTTCGTTGAAATAAACTTTGACATTTTGTACATTTAATTTTAATATTAGGACATTTTAATAGATGTTGTTCTTTATCAAAATGTTCTTTAAACATATCTTGTTGACAACCAGAACAATGAATAATTTTATATTGACAACATTCTTCTTCATGTTTTTCTAATTGTTCATAAAATAGAATTTTTTCACAACCATAAATTTTATTTCGACATTCAATTGTTAATTTTGATAAAATTGATATTAATAATGATGGGCATTTTCGTTGAATATAAGGCGAACAATTAAATGGACATCGAGTTAATGAAAAAGATTTTGCTAAATAATCATTTTCATCTTCATTATCGAGACATTCAATAATTTGTTCTTGTTGTTCAAATAACCATATTTGAATACATTGAAAACAAAATGAATTTTCACATGACGTACATGTCACTGGTTTCCAAAGAATATGATCACAAACTGGACAATGAACTAAATCACCATGACATACATTCAAATTAGTTACACGGGTTGGAACAATTGAATTGAAAGAATATTCTGGTAAAGTATTAAAAGCCATTTATTGTATTCTGATATCTTGGACTAAAATTCAGTATTATATATATATATATATATGAACTCGAAACAGAACGCAAAGATATAACTATGTTGACATTGTGAGTCATGGAATCAGATATTTAAATATCATGAAAAGCCTGTCTGCGATTGATAGGAAAGGTTAGAAGCTTTTGTCGATTATAAAGAAGTAAAATGTTAGTTTATTTTTCACGGATTTTCGAATAAACTAAAATATTTTTGTTGATATTTTAACAAAAATTTAAAAATACAAAAGAAATTATTTTATATTGTTTAATATTTCGGGGAATATCCTTATCAGTACTGTAGACAAATGGATGACGGCATCATCTCTAATCAAGTACATATGAACGTCATGTTTGACGTAGGAAAAATCACGTATTGATAGAATACCGTCATTGGAAACTATATCCACATGTTTGACAAATAAAGAATGGAAAAAAACGAGAAAAATCATTGATTTTTAGAAGGAAAAACTAGACGCGACTACTATCAATATACAATAGAATTATGACGTGATTTTTAGACGTCAATATATGAATAAAGACGTGTCAAGATATATTTAACTTCCTCTTGAAATTATACGAGATTTTTGACATGAACAACGCTCGTATATTTGTTCTCAAGATCTTATTCATAAATAGATCATTATCTATATGACAATAAAAGCTTTATAATTATTTTAATATTCTATTGTATTTTTAATCCGTTTTCAGATCAAATTTTGATCAATAATATCCTTACAATTGAAAATCTCTCTTTTTATCGGAAGTTAATTCAATCTGACTATTGAATATCTCTAAACAGAAGATTAGAATCAATTATATTAAATAAATATTTTTTCTATATAAACTAACAGAAAAATAGATTATTCTCTATACAAAAAAAAAGTCATGTTGTCTTCATCTCGATTTAACATCCATGTATTACGTGAAGAAGATCGTATTCCAGCGTTAACTTTATTAATTAATTCATTTTTTCATGATGAACCATTAGCTAAATGTGTTGAATTAGAAGAACCAATTGATTTTGCTAAAACTATTATAAATGATGCTATAAATAATCAATGTTCATTTGTTGCATATGATATACAAACAAATCAATTAATTGGTATTTGTTTAAATGAAATAAAATCAAAAGATGATCAATATATAATTAATGAAACAAATGAAAAACTTTCTTTTATTCTTAATTTACTTCATAATATGCATAAAAATATAAATCTGTTTGATATTTTTCAAACAAATTCACTTCTTTATATATTTATTATTAATGTTGACAAAAATTATCGTGGTTATCGTCTTGGTTCACGTCTTATATCAACTAGTATTGAATATGCAAGACAAAATCGAATTAAAGGTGCTTTTGCTGAAGCAACAAGTATTTCTTCATTAAATTCTTTTCAACATCAAGGTTTTTTAATTTATCATCAAATTAATTATATTGAATATGATCAAATTCGTCTTAGTACTATGATTGACAATCATAATTCGCAATGTCAACTTGTTGCAAGAATACTTTGAACAAAAATTATTTATCTATTTATGAAATAAAATATAAGAATATTATGTATTGTACAAAGTAGATTAAATTATTATTCCAGGGATTAACACAATAGTTTTGAATAGAGTGAATCATGAATTGTGTACTGAATGACAGCTCGTCAAAAATAGGATTTATATTGATACTATGAATATATTTTTTAATATTGAACTTGATTTATTTTCCATTCTGATGGCATAGAAAACTAAAATGCCAATAATTCGAAAATGGAGTCAAAGTTTTTTCTTGAATAGTTTTACATAGATTGATTTGGAGTTGAATGGATTGCGATATAAAACATTGTCAAAAATTATTTTAAATAAAATTTTGATAAATATAAGAATAACTTCAATTAATTTATATTCTTCTCATCATACAAAAAAAATATAAATAATGAATAAAACAAATAACAATAAGAAAACAACAGTAGAAAAATGCATAGTCATACAGTGTTGATTGACAATATGTTGGAAAACTTGAATCAATTGATTGAACAGTTAATTTTATTGGAAAAATCCATATACAACCCTAATTAAAATTTTCAAACGTTAATAATAAAGAGAATTTAAGAAGAAAAACTTACTACAATAAGCCAAGCAGTCATAAATAAACAGATAATAGAAATACTAATTGCAAGAGCACAACGTTTTCTTTTTGGTAATGAATCAACGTCTTCCTTGTCGGTTAACATCATCATTAACATCTAGAATTAATTAAAAACAAAGAAAAGAGATTTTTAATAACTTTACTTCATTATTAAACTTACCAAAACTAACAAAAATGTATAATATATTGTAAAAATAAAACCTGCGACAACAAGATATATAGAAATATTTTGTTCAATTGAACATTGCCCACGAAAAAGGAAACCAATAATAAGAGCAGTTATTGATAGAATATTTATAATAATTAAAAATATGAGTGAACTGTAACGTAAACAACAATCTTTTCTTATTTTTCCCATCCAATGTTTCGGATAATCATCCATTTCAAGTTATTCAACTATAATAATAGAAATATTTTAACATTATTTTTTATATTATATATATCCAAAAAGAACCTTACCTAAATTGCTATGATACAGATACAATATAGAACAAGTTTGTTTTTGTTTGTGAATCAATAGTTCGTCCTGTTGGTTTAAATTTTTCTCTCATACGTTAAATGATTTGACAGGATGTTTTTAAAAACATTCCTGCTTGTCGTTTGTCAGCTTCGTTCTTTTTTTCTTTGTTATCGATTCACAAAAAATTTTATATTCTGTTTAAAATAAATTACGACTGAATTTCAATGTTAGTGTTGTTTTAGTATAGAATTGAAAAAAAGAAAATGATGCAGCTTTTTTTTTGCTTACTCAAATCATGATTCAATCGTATGTTTAACAAAGAGAAATAGAAGTCAAATATGAATTTTATTTCTTAAGCGATGATTTAAACTCCATGAATAGAACTAATTGAAATTTTCTTTAAATAATATTTTGACATTGAAAACAGTTCAAATACTGATGGGTACATTTGTATTACTTTAAGTTTATACGTAATATTTATTGATCGTTTCGTATTTTTCCTGTAGAAATCGTAAGTTTTTAGATCAGATGATTGTCATAATCTTCACAATGAATTGCATCCTGTTCCGTTTCTATTTTTGTTTTCAATTAATAATATTTCACATACAGTAATTTCCGTGCTCTTTATCTAATAAAATTCTTATTCAACTATATGTCAAAGAGATAATTTAGTATTTTCTTTGCTGCAATTATATTATTGAAAGTCAAAAAAAGAATAAAATATATTTCGTTGCGTTAACAAAACACAAGTCATTCAAGGGAATATTTATAAATCTGTATAATTTGTTCAAATAATGAATGTTTCCAGTGAAGAATTAGTTAATAAAGATAAATTCGTTCTTCATCGAGTTAAATTTATTATTTGAATCAGTTTACAAATTCCATCGATTGTAATATCTCTTTTAATTTTCATATTTTTCATTACTTGTCATACTCGTCTAAATGTATATCAAAATCAAGCAATATTATTTTTATTAATTGTTAATTTTTTTCTTCTCTCCATTGATTTACCAATGCCTATTCATTTTTATTTTCTTAATTATGTTACTCCTGCTACAGCAGGTTTTTGTACATGGTGGACATTTTTCGAATATAGTCTTAATTTAACAAGTGAACTTTTAATGGCTGTTATTTCTATTCAACGACATATACTTATATTTCAACCATCTTTATTAAATACTCGTTTCATGCGTTTTCTCTTATATTACTTTCCACTTCTATCGTGTCTTATTTATCCGATCATATTCTATATGGCCGTCATTATATTCTATCCATGTAATGGTACTCAATGGGATTTCAAAAATAATTTGTGTGGTTACGCAAATTGTTATCTTGTTTATGATAGAATTCTGAGTACGTTTGACTGGGGAATCAATAATGGTTTACCGATTGTTGTTATTATTTTGGCTAATATAATACTCGTGATACGAATTATCAAGCAGAAGCATCGCCATCATCAACATATTTCTATAAGAAAACAGAGGCGTATGGCATTACAATTAATTAGTATCTCTAGCCTTTATTTAATTGCTTGGCTGCCTAGTCTTCTTATTGGACTTGGTCAACAATTAATCTCGACAACTTTCTTAGCTCAATTTCAGCTCGACTATACTCTTGATCTAATTTATTTAGTTTGTCTTCTGTTGCCATGGATTTGTATTCGATTGCTACCTGGATATACTGTATGGATGCGGAATCAATGGCATCACATAGCAGTAGTTCATAATCGTATTAGACCCATATAATACATCTTACTTTGAAGGTCGAAAACTTCCAGGAAACTAACAGGATGCATCATACGGTATTTTTACTATTTATTTTGAATAATTATTCGTGATGAAAAATAGTTCATTACATAAATCCATTCTTTTTCTTCTTTAATTTTTGAATGAATTTTTACTTGATTTTTTCTTAAATATTATAATAATAAAATAAAAAATGCTCATTGATAACAGCTTGAGAGTGTGGGTGTGGGCTGGTCAATATTCATCAATAAACGAAGTAATTCTAAAAATTTTTGTCTCATCGTACAATAATATGATCAATCCTTTGACTGATTCTGTCTGAATCATCAATCATGAAAATCGTTTCTATTAGCGATATCAATGACCAGTTATACTTCACTTATTGTGCCTCTGTAATGGTGTTCCATGTTTTCCCTTAGCTCGTTAGTTTTCTTAAAACGGTGACTACGCATGGACAGAATTAGAACAAATATTCATTTCTTTTTCAAATTCTTCAACAAATGGCAGCAACAAACGTTAGAGCACAATGCTCTATCTGTAATAAAGGAAATACGACATATATTTGTCGTGGATGTTCAAAGGATTTTTGTTTTCAACATTTAACAGAACATCGACAAATTCTTGACGGACAGCTAAATGAAATCGTTAATGATCATGATCAATTTCAACAAACTATTATTCAACAAAAACAAAATCCACTAAATTCTTCTTTAATTCAACAAATTATTCAATGGGAAAAAAACTCAATCGAAATAATCCAACAAACAGCAGAAGAATGTCGAGAAACAGTGATGAAATTAACACAAAATTCGATCACTGATGTGGAAAAAAAGTTTAGTGAATTGTCTCAAAAATTAAAAGAAATTCGTCAAGAAAATGAATTTAATGAAATTGATTTAAATCATTTTCAATTAAAATTAGCACAAATTACAGAAGAATTTCTTCAACCACCCAATATTTCTATTCGACAAGATTCACAAGAATTTATCAAGAAAATTTCAGTTATTTCATCATTCGGTATGTTCATTCAATTACTTCCTTTCCAGAAAAGAGAAAACGAAGTTTCAGCGAAGTTTTTTTTTCAAGTTTTTCGTATTAGTAATTAATTTTATCAACGAGATTCATGATGTCTCGATAAGAAATTTAATTACTTGGAGATTTAGAAAGATAAGTTTCAGGTATTGAAAATGAATAAATATAAGATCGAGAGACGAGTCTAAAAATAGTGTGCGTGTGTGTGGGTGGTAGTAAAGAGTCTATCTCATACCTTCACTCACACCGACACCAACCCTCAAAATGATTTTCATTTAAAAAGGTTTTCCTAAATTAAACTTTTATGAAAATCAAATAAAGAATTTTTAATTAAAAAATCTCAACTGAATGAAGAAATGATTTGAAATTAGTTTTGTTCATTAAAAATCAAATTTAATAAAGAGAAAATCTTTTATTTTAGAACCAATTCAAACAAAAAAGAATCAATTTCAACAATTAGGAATTACTGTTGCTGGAGGAAACGAAGGTGGACAGGAATTAAACCAACTCTTTTACCCTCATGGGATCCTTACTGATAATGATAAATCGATTTATATTGCTGATTTTTCGAATAATCGTATTGTTAAGTGGAAACTGAATTCGAATGAAGGTCAAATCATTGCAGGTGGAAATGGAAATGGAAATCAAAATAATCAATTGAATTGTCCAATAGATATAGTTTTTGATAAAAGAAACAATTCTTTTATTATTTCTGATCATGAAAACAAACGAGTAATTCGATGTTATGATCAAAATCAAACAAATCCACAAGTTATTATTTCAGATATCGTTTGTTGGGGTGTGACAATTGATAAAAATGGATTTATTTATGTTTGTGATTCTCAGAAAAATGAAGTTAGACGATGGAAAGAAGGAGATGAAAAAGGTGAATTAGTTGCTGGTGGGAATGGTAAAGGAAATCATCTTAATCAGCTCAATCAACCTACTTATATCTTTATTGATGATGATTATTCTCTTTATATATCAGATCGTGAGAATCATCGTGTGATGAAATGGAAAAAAGATGCAAAAGAAGGAATCGTTATTGCTGGTGGAAATGGTCAAGGAGATAGTCTCAATCAATTGTATTATCCTGGAGGAGTGATTGTTGATCATTTGGGTCAAATCTATGTGGCAGATTCTTGGAATCATCGAATAATGCGTTGGTGTGAAGAAGATGCAGAAGGTGAAATCGTTGTTGGTGGAAATAGTTGTGGAAGTCAACCAAATCAATTGAATTGTCCCATAGACTTATCATTTGATAATGAAGAACATCTTTATGTTGGTGATAAAGACAATCATCGAATCCAAAAATATGAAAAAATTTTAAATTAAAAATATTTCTAATTTAATTCGATAAAATTTTTATTTTTTATTTTTGAAGATAAATAAAAAACATTAATTTATGAAACGTCTTCCACAAAAATAAATGAAAATGAATCAAAAAAATTTTCTTCTCATAAAATAAATAAATAAATTTGCTTTTGGTTTTTAGAAAAAAAGTAAATAAATATTTATTAATTTTACTTTTAAATTAAAAAACCACAATGAATGAAATAATTTAAAAAGAGTTTTTGTTGAATGAATCAAGCTAAAAGAGTTTAATAGAATATTCAATTAGAAAAATTTTTATTTTTATAGAAAAATCAAACAAAATATTTTTGAATTCAGAAGAGCATTTAAATTAATAACAAAAAACTTGTAAATAGAAACAAATTGTTTTTTACTAGATTTATTTTTGTGATTTGATGATTTATTGAGAGAAATGGAAGAGAGCAATGAAAAAAGATAAATGAATAAGAATGAAACTTGTCAAAGTCGAAAAATTAAATTATGAAAATCTATTTTTTACAAGAAAAAATTATTTTTACATTTAAATATTAAAAATAAAATAAAATAATTCATTAAAAGAAGGGAAAAATTAGAAAAATTAACAAAAGATGAAGCTTGTTTTATTTGATTAAAAAATGAAAACTGAAGAGAAAAATAAATTCGAAATTTCAATTGATTGATAAACAAGTTCTTGTTTATTTAAATAAATTTTTTTTTATCAATCAGAAAACTTACAAAATCTTGAAAAATAGAATAAAAATCATTTGCTTTCGTTGAAATATCTTTAGAAAAGAAATTTTCAAATGCTTTTTGTGAGATTTTTTTAAACTGTTTTTTAATTTTTTTCTTCTTGGAAAAGATAAAGATTTTCAATCATTAAAATCAGATGTGAAGTCTGGATGAGATGTGTTTTAGTCTATTTTTAATGTCTCTGCTCATAATATTTATATTGTAAATTCAAACATTAAAGTCAAGACGACGAGAATGCATTGATGTACACCATTTCAATATCTCATTTGAATTCAAATCGAGATCTTTCTGAGTACAGATAGTAACAAGTCTTTCACTTCGTTGATGTTTTCCCAATAACATCATACTCATGTTCATCCAAAACTAAAGTTAAAATATAAGAAGCAATCTTTCTGTTCTTCTCTTCTTTATTCTTTATAAGAAGAACAAGCAGGAGAGTGCGTATGATTTATACGGAAGAATAACATCCTGTTATTGTCTTATTCGAAAATATGCAAACAATTTTGAAAAAGTAAAATTTAATTGAGCAAAGCTTCAGATGAAATAAATAGTTGTCCATTTTCCTCCCCTCAGTTACACCAGTGGTGTATGTGTGGCTGTGTGAAAAAGTTGAATACAATATTCAGATCTAAATTTATGCTCACACTCCTCAAGATTTTTGTTGATACCTTCTGACAGCAGAAAAGAAACTCTGCGAAGATAAATAATATCATCATCAATAAAAGAAAAACAAATACTTCTTATCGACTTTGATCGATAACCTTGTTTATCATTCTTTTATAACTAAGATAAAAGAATTGATTCAGCCTTATGTATAGAAGGTGACTTATGTATGATGTGCATATATTTGTTCGTTTCGACGAAAGAAACTATTACCAACTTATACGTCACAAAGCCAGAATAACAAGTGGTTTGCAAATAAAGAAAGTCATTAAGTATTGCTCGACCCATTTTGTTGTACGGCGCTTCTCTTTTCTTTTCGAGATCAATGTGTGTGAGGTAGAGTTTAAATGGATATTTTTACAGGAACTATTGCCCATTTTAACCACAAAATGCTCATGAGCTCAAAGTTTAATTAGATTCTCAGATCAGCGTTATGACTTTTCAATGTTTGTAGATGTTACAGAGATGTTCATTTTTGCAACTTGTTGTGTTCCTTTGGGGGTTCGAAAAAGAGAAAACGTCAAGTCTATGAGTTTAAATATAAGTGTAGATGAGAGTATATATGAAGATGCGAGTATAAATGGCGATGTGGTTTGGGTGTGGGTGTGGATGTGGATGAATACAAGGCAATGCCATATTTGCACCCTTACCGTTTTGCCAATAAGATTCCTGTTCAATGCAAATTTCTAAATGAGAAGTTTGTTTTTTGTAGATTTTAGTTTGTGAAAGTATTGAAATTTGGATTCGATCTCAACTATGAAGAGCAACAAAGTGAATGTTTACAATGTAATCTATTCAGATAAAGAAAAGCATCATATTATACTCTTCTTTTCTTGTTTATTTCAGAGTGTGCCTCCAGTTAACGCTGATCCAATACAACCATCGACACTACGTATATCAGAGATGGGATCGGCTCGTGTTTTTCTCGAATCGAGTCGAGCTAAAACTTATAACAGTCTAACGAGTGTGTCTCGAACAGATCCGGTCCCATCTCTGTTGTAGTTTAAGAATCGAAAGTTTTTTAAATCTGATAAAATCTAAATAATATATAAGATGCTAACTAGTGTACTATGAAGATTTTTAGCTTTTACTTCAAAATATTTCTTTATTTAATATTTAGCACAATGAATTTTCAACCAAATCAACAATCAACATTGACCAATAATGATACTTCAATCTATTTTAATGATAAACAAGCAAATGTAAGTGTCGATTAATATCTCGAATGAATTACAGTTCAGTTTTGTTTGCCTTATTTCAAATGTCAAAAAGTTAGATTTTCTATAATAATGGGCTAAAAAATACTTCGTTTTCAAAAAAAATTATTATAGAATTCATTATTACCAAATATTGAATCAAGTTTTAATCCAACAGCGAATTATTCTCTAGATTCTCAGTCAATAAATGAATTAGTCGATTTGCATAAGAAACTTTTACGCAAACGAATGATGTATTTCTATATCGTATCTGGAATATTGTTCTTAATTGGTTTGATATTATTAATCATAGGCTTTATTCTACCAAGATGTAGTTCTTATTCTTATGACTGTCACTCAGAAAATTTATCATATCTCACTGTTGGTAGAATCCTAATGGGTACTGGCATTGTCTTTGTGTTGATAGGCCTTTGTGCTACTTGTTGTTGTATGAAACAGCAGTTTGAGGATGCAAATTTTAGCGTTAATGGATAACAGCCAGTTGTATGGCGACTGCATGGTGAACAATGGGTACGATATTTGAATTATGCACAGGGTCCAAATCGAGTATGGACAGAAAAGGCTCGATTCTCATCTTTCTGTTGTCGACGTTCAACCTATAAACGATTGATAAATCGTCAATATGGTCGTATTATTTTACATGAAAATGGTTTAATAATTGATGAATTATATTTTATTTCATTTCGAGAATATATATTACAAAGTATACAAATACTCTATATCAACCAACATCCACAAATAAGAGGTTTAAGAATAAATACTTATCTTGAAAGAGGAAAAAATAGTCGCAATTGCTATTTTGATTTATTTGCACCATCATCAGTTTCATTAGAACAAATACTATCAATCGCTGCAACATACATTAGTAGAGTATATGGAGTTACTGGACTCGGTTTATCTTTGGGTGTTGTTCATCTTCCTGGATCAATATTATCTACACACAGCTAATATATATGACTTATTACCGCTATTAATTATATAAATTAATCCATTCCTATAATTATAAACAAAAAATAATTTCATATATTTTTTAATACATAAATGAATAGTGATTTATTTGACAAAATCCATTTGAATGATTCTGTTGGCAAATTTGTCGCTTGTTTTATGTTGTAATAAAAAACAAAAATTATGAAGAATGATACTTTCGAGTTAACGGATTAGACGAAGATATTTTTAACGGTTAATCATTTGGTCATTTTTGTTGACATTAATTGTTGTTGACATTAATTGTTGTTGAAATGTAATGATTGTATGATAGTTTATTGTTTAAAATGAAATTATGAACTGAGAGTGTAATATAGGAATACTATTTGATAATAAACAAAAAGATAGATCAAGAAGAAATAAAACTATTCGTGTTCAGTGAAGGTCTTTCAACTTTGAATTTTTGAGATAAAATCAAAATAGAGGGTGTGGGTGCGATCTCTAACTGATATCCACACCCACGTCCATATTCTTGATATAGAATTCATAAAGAGTAAAGTATTTTGTTACTTGAATCTGATGTGATCATTGTTGTTACTGGCATCGAGTGTATTTAATAGCTTCTATTCTTTCGTCGCATGTATTAAAATGTCTTTTCATATCAGCAGCCACATAAAAAAGCAGTTTTTTTTCTTTTACTTGTTCACATGGTTTCGAATGAAATAATACAGTGTTCTTTTCCTTTTCATGAAAAGAACAAAAATACTACTGATTGGTTACTTAGTATATTTTCATGTTGTTGTTGCTTTTGAATTCTGATCATTTTTTTGGATTTACTAACTTTACTTTTTGTTTGTCACTCATGAAAAAATAACTTCGTCATTTTAATAAACTACCTTCATCGTTCGCTTCCAACATACATTAAAAAGTAAAAAACATTATCAGAAATTCTAGCACATGATTCATTCAATTTAAATTATTGTTAACGTGGTGAGTTTTTAACTGTTTTCATATTGCATACTAATATTAAAATTTCTTTTGATCAATACTTCACACAAATTTAAACAATCTACTGACTTGAATAAGCAGATTAAAAATAGACTAATTAGTTACTTTGTATAATTTATGAAGAATCTTCATGCCATTCTGTAATGAAAAGATCTTAAAAATTTCTGAATGTTTATTTGCATATTTATTCATAACAATTCATTTTGAGTCATTATATCAATAATAACTGAGTTAATAACCAGCTTATAGTCTTCATATGGATGTTTAGTTTCACCACAAACGTAATCATTCATTTTCATATGCATTCTAATTATAAAAGAGAACAAATTGAATGTATGATGTCAATTCTATTTGATTTGTTCTTCGGTATTGAGTCAGAGATCAAAAACTATTCGATTCAGAACAATCTTTTAGAAGCAAGTAAATATAAACAAATTTAAGTAAAAAAACAATCGATTGATCTAATATTTACATAGTACAATTACCATTTTATCATGAATAATCAAATAATATTAGGTAGATTATTTTATATCGAAATTAAATCTTCGAATAATATCTATTTTTTTATTCTTTTAACACACTTGTTTATTATGTTCATTAGAATCAGTCATTTCTATGTGATATCACTTTTCAAAGTTATTTCTTTTCTTTATTCGAGGATGTGGGTGTGTGTGAAATGATTGAATACCAACATCTACACCACATACTCTAGCCACCCACACTCTAGTTTTATTAACAAAATACGATAGCGTAAGACTGTATTCTTTATGAATCACGTTCCTGAGATTTATAACTAATAAGAATACTACAAAAAAATGCACTTGACTAACTGATACATTTTATTTAAATTCAGTTATGATGCTAATTTTATTTGTAGACTGTTTGTTGTGATTGTTACTAGAAAATATTCTTTCATATAAACATGGCTACAGGTGGAAATGTTGACCCACAACAGTATACACGTGTATCGGATATTGTCAATGAACCGCAAGAGATGCTCATGCCAATTCGAGGGTATGAAAAAGTGCCACTAGTGTCATTAGAAGAAGCTGTAGCACCACTTATTTCGATTTTACCTGAGATTCAAGATTATGCTTATGTTGCAAAACAACGATGTAAATCCGTACCACCCGATGATTTAACACAGAATGAATCAGCTTCAATCATGCTTTATTCAATGGAATGGGAACCGCATGACGAATGTTTATATTTTGCCCTCAATGCTGCTCTTCGCACTGAAGATAGGCGAAAATTAAAACCATGGTTTTCGTATTTGAAACTTATTCTTACAGCACTTGAAAAACTACCATCTACACGATGCCATGTGTTTCGTGGAGTGAATTTGGATTTATCTAATCAATATACTGAAGGAAAAACATTTGTCTGGTGGGGCTTTTCTTCATGTACAATATCGATAGAAGTACTCAAAAACGAACAATTTCTAGGCAAAACTGGCCAAAGAACATTGTTCACGATCGAATGTGATAGTGGCAAAGATATTAGTCGTCATTCGTATTATCAATCGGAAAAAGAAGTTCTTCTTCTGGCTGCTCGACAATTTATTGTAGTAGGTTATCTTCAACCAGCTGCAGGTCTTCATATGATTCAATTAAAAGAAACAAAGCCTCCAATTACTCTTTTGCAACCGGTTACAAATCAGTTGGTACAGATTAAATCAACATCGGGTAAGAGAAAAACACTATTTGATCAGTTAAAATATGAAATATGAAATAGAGAACACTTCGGTAGAAGATTATTTACTAGTCATAGAGTTATGATTCTAGCTCATTTTCGAAAGAGTGGATTTTCATTAGATCTCTATGGCTAAATTCTACATATGCTAAAAATATTTCACATAATTATGGGGTAGTTTATTCTATAAAGCGTCACAATCTTAAAAATAAGATATGGACACTTGTATGCATATTTGATACGATTATTGTTGGTATGTTTTCTTTCTGAAGGAACTTTAAAGGTGTCTCTAAGGATTTGCAAAGAAGCGTAAGGGAGTCCCTATAGTTTAGTGAAGAAAAAAAGGGAGCTCCTGAGAATGGATGTGGGTATAGAAGAAACTCACACACCACATCCTCGACTAGAGATTTGCTTTTCAATTACAAATAAATTAATAAATAAATCATTCAAGAATTTATGATACAGATCTCAAAATAATTAGATGAATAACAAATACTTGATATTTTATTATTGAGTTTTATATATCGAAAATCTTAATTAGAAGATAAAATAATTGAAGATTAGACTGGCACAATTTTATTTCTAAAATAAATGATAAAACAAATATTTTAAAGATCGATGAAAATGAAATCTAATTCACCAGAATAGTTTATAAATTATTGACTTTTTGTTTCAATAAAATATTATTAATCTGATTAAACTAATATATAAATTGATAATAATTATTATCTATTTCTATCTTTCCTTTTTATAGTAAAATATTTTAACATTTTATTTATATTTGAAAATTAGGAGAAAACGTCAAAGAGAAAAAAATCTATTAAATGAAAAAATATCTTCTAAAAGAATTTTGTTTTTGAAAATCAAAGAAATTTTCTCTTATAAATAAATGTAATTTCTTATTTTATAGGTAGAAAGATATTTTCTCAAAAGAAAATAGATATTTTATAGAGAAAACTTTACGATTTATATTCAAAAGATAAAATATGAATGAATTCTCTTTCTTTACATCTTTATTAGAAAAATCTAAATAAAAATATTATATAAATATTTTTTAATATTTTTATACAAATAAGATTGAAATACATTATTTATTTTTCTACAATTGTCAAATAAAATCATTGTATTTTCTTTTTCTTAAGATTCTTATCAACCAAAGCATTCTACAACTAGTACAGCAACTATATTAAAGAATCCAGTAACAACTCAATCTCAAACAAAACAAAGTATGTTTTATTAAATAGAAAAAATAGTTTTATTATCTTTAAAAATGAGATGAAACTTTTTCGTAAATTATTTTTATTAATTAAGTAACAATTTAAATTACTTTTTCAAAGAATATTCTTCTTTAAATGAGAAATAACAATTTCTCTTGAAACAATATTCATAAAATTATTCATAATTTGCTTCTTTTGTATTTTCAAATCACTTAATATAACACTGAAAAGAGACTTCACCCATTGTTTTTGAATTATTTTTCCTATTAAGATACTGAGAATATTAATAAAAAATAAATGTTTAAAATAAAAACTCTTTTGAAAAGTAACAAAAGTTTTGATTTAAGATATTTTTTATAAATTAATTTATATGAATAAGAACAAAATTTAACTTCGAAGGTTTTCTTTTCTTATAAAAATAAACATTTATAGAAAAGTAAGTAAGTTTTGTAGTTTTTTGTTGAAAATTTTAATTTAATGGAAATTTTCGATCTTCTTTCGATCATTATCAACCTTTAAATACAACCTTATAACAAGATGTTAATTTAAATCTCAAGATTGTTTATATTCATACATTATTGATACATAGTATTATTAACAATGATAATAATAATAGACTTTTGATAATAATAACGAAAATAAGTTGAAATGAATAGTTTTATTGTTGGAATATATTTATTTGTTATTCGTAATCTTTTGCAGTGATATATATTTAATTTGTTAATTCATCATTATTAGCATTTTAACATCTTTTACAGTTTTACTACTGATGATGGCACTAGAGGTGCCGAAAGCTTTGGTCTCAGTAATAATACTCTATGTATTATTATTATATAATTTCCAACAATAAAACTATTCATTTCAACTTATTTTCGTTAACATAGTATTATTTTTGTTTAAAATTGAAATTAATTTTATTTTCTTCTCAAATTATTCAAATTTTCGAAATAAAAATCAAATTGGTTTTAGTTAATTTTTCCATTTCATAAAGAAATCGATTTTTGTCGTTTTCTAAATTCTGAAAATGATCAAAATTCAATAGGAATTTTATTTTCTTTCGATCGATCAATTACATTTGAAATATTTCCTTCAATATTTTTATATTTTAAATGAATTAAAATTTTTAATGAAATATTTTATTCTTAATAATTTGAAAATATTTGTAAAACTTTTAGATAAAATTGGTTCCAGATATTATTTCAACAGATGAATTAATTAGCAATTTTTTATAAAATCATTACTTTCTTCTGTTTTTTAAAAGATTTATTCTAATATAAAACTCAAATCTAAGCAAATTTCTGAGAATAAATTAAATTTTTCTATTTTTTTCATTTGAAAAATCTCTTTCAATATTTTAATGAAAAGATTATCTTGGTTTGAAATTGTTCAATAAATTTAAGTTCAGTTCAATTCTTTAGTTTAGAATATTTTAAATAAAAGAATTATTTGATTTATTCATAAAAAAGAAGTTTTTAATGAATTTTATTTAGATCATTGAAGTAAAAATGATTCTGATTTAGAAAAACATTTTCCTAAATAAAACTTTTATGAAAATCAAATAAACAATTTTCAATTAAAAAATCTGAATTAAACGAAGGAATCATTTGAACTTAGTTTTGTTGATTAAGAAGAAAATTTTATTTTACTAAAACAAATTCAAATACAAGTTTTTCTTCTTATTTTCGCCCTTTTATCATTTAAAAATAATAAAAAAAGATTTGAATAAAACATTTTCTTTTATTTTAGAACAGATTCAAACAAAAAAGAATAAATTTCAACAATCTGCAATTACTGTTGCTGGAGGAAATAAAGATGGAAAGAAATTAAATCAACTCTGTTTTCCTAATGGGATGTTTATCGATAATGACAAATCAATTTATATTGCTGATTCTGGAAATGATCGTATTGCCAAATGGAGACTAAATTCAAATACTGGCCAAATCATTGTAGGTGGAAATGGAAAAGGAAATCAAAATAATCAATTAGATCGGCCAATAGATATAATTTTTGATAAAAAAAATAATTCTTTTATTATTTCTGATATAGGAAACAAACGAGTAATTCGATATTTTGATAAAAATGAAACAAATCAACAAATTCTTATTTCAAATATTAGATGTTGGGGTGTGACAATTGATAAAAATGGATTTATTTATGTTGCTGATTGTCAGAATAATGAAGTAAGACGATGGAAAGAAGGAGATATAAAAGGTGAATTAGTTGCAGGTGGAAATGGTCAAGGAGATCGTCTTAATCAACTCAATGATCCTACTTTTATCTTTATTGATGACGATTATTCTCTTTATATATCAGATTTTTTAAATCATCGTGTAATGAAATGGAGAAAAGATGCAAAAGAAGGAATTGTTGTTGCTGGTGGAAATGGTCAAGGAAATAGTCTCAAACAATTATCTTGTCCTTGGGGAGTGATTGTTGATGATTTGGGTCAAATCTATGTGGCAGATGGTAATAATAATCGAATAATGCGTTGGTGTGAAGGAGATGAAGAAGGTGAAATTGTTGTTGGTGGGAATGGTAAAGGATATCGATCAAATCAATTGGATTTTCCCGTGGGTTTGTCATTTGATAATGAAGAAAATCTTTATGTTGTCGATAGAAACAATTATCGAATCCAAAAATATGAAAAAATTTGAAATTACAAATATTTGAAATTTAATTTGATAAAATCTGGATTTTTATTTTTGAAAAGAAATAAAAAACATAAATTTATGAAAAATCTTCAACAAAAATGAAAACAAATCAAAAAATTTCTTCTTATAAAATAAATAAATTTTTTTTTGATGTTTAGAAAAAAGTAAATAAAGTTTTTTTAGTTTTTTCGAAATTTTTTTAAAAATTTCGAAATCTTGTCATAAATTTTAGAGCAGAAAAACTAACGTTTAAAAAGATTTTTCAGACGATGACTTCTAGACTTTGTCCGCTTGCAACAACCTTTAGTGTAACATCAGTAATTGCAAAAGCAGGGGAGCGCAGTATAAGGAAATTCCGAAATTAGAAAAAATCCGATTTCCAACTATTTTAAGATCGCTGGAAAGATTAGCTCTTAATGAGTCTTCTATTCTTAAAAAACCTTTTCAAAAAGCTTTGTTCATGTAAAGTTTCTCATTGAACTCATCTGTGTGAGATGACATATTTTTCTTTTCGAAAAAATACATCTCATAATGAAACATAACATACTAGAGGAAATAACAGTTTTTTTGAAATATTAAATTGAATAATTTAACATGATCAATTTCCGATGAAACATTGTCTGTAGAAGTAGGCACCGCATTGTTATTGTTGCATTCTGAACAATAAGAATACGTTTATTATTCATCATTAAAGGAAAATGACAAGTATTATGTATAAGTCAATGAATATTCTATTACAAATATACATTATTACAGTCATTAGTCTAAAACTAAGCGTCAACATTTATCATATCTAAATATGAAACACAATTAATATAGTTGACACTAAAAGAAATCCAACTACAAAGATTGCTACAATTTCAGATGAGTATTTCGATAGTGTTGTCGGCATCATAACCATTGTGAATAAAATTATGCATCTCGCGATATGAGTCATAAAATACTTTCTCAATTTATAAAATCATATTGAAAAAAAGTATTTTTTCTTTGTATTATTTTCTCTCTAATATAACAATTTACGATGTTCACCGTCATCTTGTCAAATATTTGTTCTGTTACCATCATACGTCTACATAACAACAAAAAATCTCGATATTTTTTTCTTTTTTTCCATCAGTTTGTCTTCTAATTTCCATATGAGTACCACGTCAACATCATGTGCAATTGTTACATGTACACAAATCCCATATGTTTTTTGTTATTGTTGCAGTAAAAATCTTTGTCTCGATCATTTATCAAATCATACTGCTTTAGTCAATTCTCAATCAAAATCTTCAATTGATCAAATCAAACGAATAAATATCGATAAATTAATTGCTAATGATCGTTTAAAATTAGAAAAATGGCGTGATGATAGTCTGAAAAAAATTCATCGATTTTATGAAAAAAAATGTGATGAACTTGATGAATTTTACGCTCAAAAAAGTCTTCATCAACAACAAGAATTAACTGATACTAAATTTCAAACAACTATTCTTGATATCCAACAAAATGGTATTCCAATTCATATTCGTTCTTTACCAATCGATAATAATTTAATTACATTTGGAGAATTAAAAACACAAGAATTTGATATTATAAATCTTTCATCACCAAGTAAAACATATAATATTTCTAAATCATCCGGAATTGGTATGGCTACTAATAATCAATCTTTATTAATTGATCAAAATCCCGATATAATTTTATTGAATCAAGATTCAATCGTTATTGAACAATTTACTTGGAAATATGGTTCTATTCGTGATATGTGTTGGTCATTTGGATTAAATAGTTTTATAATTATTACAGAAATGAATAAAACATATTTAATTAATGAAAATACTTTATCAATTGATTGTATTGAACCAATGATGAATCAATTGTGGATGTCATGTACATGTTCAAATTCATTATTATATTTATTATCATTAAGTAATGCTGTAGTTGAATTTACTCTTTTACCAACACTTTCTTATGATAGAAGATGGGATCAACCAGATACTTGTAAAAAACATGAAACTATTAAAGATATTTCTTGTAATGAAGATACACTTGCATTAGTTATTATATCTTATTCAACTAAAATGGCACATTTAATACTTCGATCATTAACAACATTTGATTTATTATTTTCTATTCGTCTTGATATGATCGTACATTCATCATATCAATTACCGATTCGTTGTTGTCCATTCAAAAATCATCAATGGCTTGTTAGTGAAGCAAATACATCACGTCTTTTTTATATTGGCAAAGATGGTAAACTACAAGGAACACTTAAATATGATCAACAACCTTATAATGCTCTTTTATTTGGTTCACGAATACTTGTTATACGTACAGAAACTACGATAAATTTTCATGAATTATAATATATAACTTTCATGACTGCTTTTTTTTTGATTATTCATAAATCTAATCATTTGTTTTTTTTTTCTTCGCACGTATGATCAAAGATAAAATTCATATGTGTCTATCGGTCACGAGTTGAGTATTTCCCCCATAAATAAATATATAGGAGAACGAGGAGAGAATATACGTGATCAGTTTTTTTTTCTCTATCTATTCTTCATGAAACATAACGTGATCAATTTAGAGGTTGACCCCATCATATTCGTATAGCACGATGAACTTTTTCTTATTTTTCAAATATGTGAACTCGGTGCGAGATTGGTCGATCGATCAAAAATTATGGTGATCAACTAGAAGGCATCAGTTGGTCACGAGTTTATTTTTGCCCCCTTATTCAGCGGTCAACTATAGCATATCTTTTTCTTTCCTTCCTTTTCTCTTCTCTAGACATGATGTCCTTACTGACCAACCCTGGATAAGAAAGTAACCAACGGTTATTCACCAACGTAGTATCGTGACCGTTTGTAAAGAAAAGGTCACTACTATTTTACTGCTAGTATATAGAATTTTCTTTCTCTCTCCCATTTTATTCTATATTTTCTCTCGTTTTCTTCATCACCCTATATCCTCATATTCACTCGATTCATTCACATTCTTCCTCACCACCATTGACATAGATTTAGACCCGTTCACTCTCGCGAACATCGTCTATTTGTTTTCGTCGTCATCATCATCATCAGTATGCCTACAAAATCAGGCAAAAAATCTCATGGTCAAAGTCTTTACAAAAGATTTGTTGATGCTTATATGAAAGCTCGTCCGGATACGAAACGTGCAGTAAGTTGAAATAATTGATCTACTATCATAATCAATGATTTCATTATAAACGAATATAATTTTTTTGTTATATAGGTAAAGCATCATGATGCTCAAGTTGAATGGAATACAATAAAATCTAATGAAGAATTAGTACAAGAAAAAATCGAAGAATATTTAGAAATTTATAATAATTTAGGTGCACCTGAAAATGCAGGTCTTGCACGTCCGCCATCACCGGATGAACCCGAACGAAAAGATGGTCGTGGACGTCCACGTAAAAATGGTAAAAAAAATGAAACATCAAATAATAAAGAAAATAGTGGTGAGAATAAATCAAAAAAAAAGGATGAAGAATGGAACGGTCTAGATGATCTTGATGATGATGAAGAAGAAGAAGAAGAAGAGGAATCCGAAGAAGAAATTGAGAAAAAGAAAAAAAAGAAGAAAAGTTATTATGTTAAAAAACGTAAACCAGCTGATGAAGATATTATACAAGATCCAACATTAACAGCAGCTCAAGCAACTGGTGGTTCATTAGAACCATTACCAAAAAAACTTCGTCAACCAGCTCAAGAAAAAGCTTACAAAGAATTAAGTGCCATAAATGAACGTATTGCATCGTTAGTACAAGTTAGACAAATGGGTTTATCAACACCAGAAAATAAAAAACAATTAAAAAAATTAATTGTTGATCGAAAAAAGAAAGCTTATGAATTAAAACGTCTTCAATCAAAACAACGTGCATCAAATAAATATCGAAATAAACAAAAAAAAATTGTAAGACGAATAAAATAAAAAGAATTTATTTTTCTAAATTAATTTTTTGTTTTTTAGGTTGATAATCTATTAGAATCAAAACCGGAATTAAGTCCACAATTAAATAAACTTTATCGTCGTGGTGTTGGTCGACCACGTGTTGAAGAAAATTGTCCAGATTTATTACAAATTATTGAAGAAATTGCTAAAGTTGGTGGTGCAAGTGATGATCGTCGTCGATCAGAAACAATTCGTCCTTGTTTAACATTAGATGATCTACGTGAAAAGATTAAACAACGTGGTTATGATATTAAACGAACAACACTTTATTATCGGTATGAACAAAAAAAAAGATTTAGTTTAAAAATATATTTTTTTTCTAGTCTTTTACCACATCGTGCATCATCGATTGAAGGTCGTCGACATAATCAAACTGTTCCTGTTCGCCTTCGTCGTGCACAAAATGATGAACATGGTAAACATGAAGATGGTCATTTTGCAACAGCAACAATTCGTTATATGAAAGATTTAGCATCGATATTTGGCAATGATTGTGTTTTCTATTTATCACAAGATGACAAATGTAAAGTTCCACTTGGTTTACCAGCAGCTCGTGTTCAAGCACCAATGTTAATGCATTTGGATTATCGTATACGTTTACCAGATCACGACTGGACAGTTGCACCACGTCATCAATTGACACCAAGTGTTTATGCAGCATGTCTTTTATCTGAAGATGGTGATTTAGGTTATTCAGGACCAACATATGTTGCTGTACGTTCAGCTAAACATGATCAATCAAATGCTGATTCTCATGCAACTGATTTTGATCGTCTTGTTAATTTAAAAGAATTTGAAAAAGTTGCACGTGATGAAACAGGACAAGTTAAACCAATTGTTATTGTTACTGTTGATGGTGGTCCAGATGAAAATCCACGTTTTCCAAAAACACTTGTGGCTTGTATAAGAAAATTTAAAAAATATGATTTAGATGCACTTTTTTGTCTAACACATGCGTAAGTTTAATTTAAAAAATAAAAATATTTTTTGATTTTCTCTTCTTTTAGTCCTGGTCAATCCGCTTATAACATTGTTGAACGTCGTATGGCACCATTATCACATGATTTAGCTGGTCTTATTTTACCACATGATCATTTTGGTTCACATTTAAATGATTCGGGATCAACAGTAAATGTTGATTTAGAAAAATTAAATTTTCGTAAAGCTGGACAAATGTTAGCTGAAACATGGAATCAAACAATTATTGATGGTTATCCTGTTTTTGCAGAATATATTAATCCACCAGTTACATCAGAAGATGAACGACGACAACTTGATGTTAAAATTGTTATGGATGAACTTATACGACAGTAAATTTCATATAGAAATTTTTCTTAAATTTTTTCTCTTTTATTTAATAGAGTTTGTGCTGAAGAAGAAGCTGAAGAAGGTCATGAAGCTCGTATTTCTGCAGCAGATGAATATTATCAAGATAATGCTCGTCCACCACGTGAAAAATTTAGTGATCAACCAAAATATGATATTGATGAATATTGGTGTGCAATGCACGTTTTACAAACACAATATACATTACAAATTGTTCGTTGTAATTCAGTTGAATGTTGTGGAGCATGGCGTTCAAATTATATTGAAGTATTTCCACATCGATTCTTACCATCACCAGTTCCATTTGAACGTACACCATATGGTGTTCGTATGGCTGAAAAAGATTATCAAAAAGGACAATTTTATGGTTCATTATTTCAACGTATTCAATTTCATGGTGTTGTTATTGAAAATACACAAGTAAAAATCAATTTCGATTTTATTTTTTTTCCATTAAATATTTTTTTATTATTTAGAATGAAATGTTACCATTTGATTTTTGTTGTTCATCCGTTAAGAAAGAATTACGAAAACGTACATGTAGAATATGTAATCAATATATTCCATCAGCTTATCGAATGAAAAATCATTATAAAATTCATGCCGAACATTATGATGATTTTGATCATGAACAAGATGATACATTACCATTAACAAATATGAATGATTCAAATGAAAATAAACAACCAACAACAACAGCCGCACCACCAGTATTTAAAACTGAAATGTTAGATTGGCTTCGTTCGGATTTTGATGAATTCGATTTGGGTCCAGCACCAACACAACTTGCAAGTGATCGTGTTACACGTAGTTTGAAGAAATTACGTGTACAAGAAAAACAAAATGAAGATAACAATGAAGATTGGGTACATGTAGAATAAAACATATTTAGTAGTGAAAACACTTTGGTTTTTTTTTTTTTAAATATTATTTCAGTTTAGCAATCTCTCTTGTTTTCTTTTTTGTAATTTATGTTTTTTTTTTGTAATTTATGGATTTTTGTAGTCTTTTGTTTTTTTGTAGTCTTTTGCTCATTTTTTTGTCTTTTTGATGTTGTTTTGACTTCCTTTTTTTGTTGTTGTCATTTTTTGCACAAAGAATTTAAAACATGTTTAAATAAATATATATGACGAAGCATTTTCATATTGAAAATTAACAAGTTTTTTTTGATATTGACGAACAGATGGATGATCTGCAGGAAATGTAGCTTGTGCTATATCACGAGCACGATAAAAATATGGAAATGCTTTTGAATATTTCTTTTCTTTTAAATGAACACAACCAATATTATAATAGGATTTAGCCATTTCGGAATAATCTGGTGAATGAGTTTTATAACAAATAGAAATAGCTTTTTCGTAACATGATAAAGCTTTCGTATGTTCATTCATATGTAAATAGGTTAAACCAATACTATTGTAATAATTAATTAGAATATTATTATCAAAAGGAATATTTTTTTTACGAATTTTTAATGCATTTTCATAAGATGAAAGAGCTTTGGAATATTCTTTCATTTCAAAATATACATTACCAATATTTTTATATGAAATAGCGATTGTTGAATAATTAGAAGAAAATATTTTTTGTTTGATTTCAAGTGCTTTTTGATGAGATAAAAGTGCTTTGGAATAAGAACCCATTGCTAAATATGTCAGACCAATATTATTATATAAAGTAGTTAAATATGGATGATTTAATAATAGAGCATTTTGATAAAGTTGAATTGCTTTCTCATAATATGAAAGTGCTTCAGAATAATTTCCCATGTAATAATATAGTAAACCAATACTGCTATGAATTGTACCTAGAACTAAATGATTCGAAGATAATGTTTTTGTATAAATTGAAAGTGCCTTTCGATATAATGAAAGTGCCTTGGGACGTTCTCCTAAATTCATGTAGACTGTAGCTAGATTATGATAGGACGTACCTATATGTGGATGATTTAATGGAAATGTTGTTAAATTAATTTTCAAAGCTTCTTTGTATTCTTTCAGTGCTTTTGAATATTTGCCCATACTATTATAAACTGAACCAATATTATTATGTGAATTAGCTAAGAATGGATGATTTTCAGGAAGAATTTTACGACGAAGTTCAAATGCTTTTTCATGATATAATAATGCTTTTGGATAATCACCTAGTTTATTAAGAAGTAAACCAATATGTCCATAAGATTGTGCTAAATCAGAATGATTTGATGGAAGAATATCTTCCATAATAGCATGTGATTTATTGTAAAATATAAGTGCTTTAGAATATT